CATATGGTGACGTACAGACACACTTTAAATATTCAAAGTTTAGATTTTCGAACAAAATAGGTGACTTTATCTAATTAGATTATTTATTCACCATAAAATGTTCATTTGATAGCTAATTTGTTTTAAATTATATATATATATATATAATTTACTGAAAACTTACTTTCTGGAGATAAACAGTAATTTATTCACCAAGTGTAGATTTATGTCACAGATTGAAATCATAAGTCAATTGAAGCTAGACCACCATGGAAAACCTGGAAACATCGGACGGCCGTTTTGTCCTAGTATGGGACTCCTCAGCAGTGCGCATCCCGCACCTCGCGAGATTCGAACCCAGGACCTGACAGTCCCGCACCAGGCGCTTAACCAACTAGATTTATGTATTTGACCATGAGGTACATGTATTTTATGTAATGGGTTTTGATGATCTTCCTGTTTGATCCAGTTATAATTTCAGCTTGTCTAATTCTCAACCTAACTAGTTATGATAGAAAAAACAAAATAAAACTTCGTTGTAAGATTTAATGCTAAAACCAAATATAAATGTATTTAAATCATAGATATTAGTGTTTTAAGCGTCCCAGGTGCCGGGTGGGTGTCGGATGTCGTTGCCCCGGCAGGTTGACGGAGCTATGGATGTCAGCACGTCACAGACTCGACATTTTGACAGAGAGCGTAGCACAGACTGCAGAAATGAAGAATGTGGCACGGCGAGCATGAAGCACTACAAGAACGACTGCCTTAAAGGGGGGACGAGTGTGGTGCGTGCTAGTTATATTGATATAAGTAGTATATGACGCGAGTCAGGAATGTAATGTCTGGCAGCAGAAGATAGGGAAGATCAAGAAAGGAAGAGCGAGAATAGAAACCAATTAGTATGAAAATGCAAGAACAACGAAGTTCGAGACAATTATTGAACATTTTGCAAATTAAGTATTATAGTATGGTTTTTCTATTTCACCAAGTAATTCTGTAATTTTGTGCTAAATACAGTCCGATTGTTCCCATCCGTGTTCTGTTCACTACATTAGTATGATTTATTGGGCCAGTCTAGTGAAAGATACATTCGGTGAGGTGAACTCCACAAGGAAAATAATTGAATTATTTGCCGAAAAATTCCCATCATATTATAACACATATAAATGAAGAGTATTCCATTCAATATAATCTTTCGAGGTTCTACAATTATATATCCAAATTAATAGTCCGAAAATTGGAGAAGTATAAGATAACATACATTATTTAAAATTACAGCATATGGATTTAGGATTGTTTGCAATATAAAAGAAAATAGAAACGTTAATGTTGGGATGACTATTCTGATGCGTTGACTTACATAATTTGAAGCGTTAAATGAAATTGTGAGAATAATGATCGGAATAAATATGGTTAACATGGGATGAGAGAGATAATAATGTAATTCCAGATCAGGAATCACGTAATATGTAGAATAATATGAATTAGGTACGAATTAATAGGATGGAGTGGATACTGAATAAATTTCTCAAAACGTTTGCAAGCGTTGTGGTACTAATGATAATAATAATACTTGTGAATAGGAAAAGTTTAAGCTTTGAAATTACAAAGAGGAAGGTGGTATGTTCATTGATCGAATTACGTCGCCATATCATCAAACCTGACCACGTTTTGGATTACTAATTTGAATATATAATTTTAGAACCTGAAGAACGTTTATTGTGAAGAATTCAATTGACCATAATAGCATCACTACACTTACATTTCCAACACATGTAATTTCGAATTAGTATCGTATCTATTTAGATTCATCCGGTCCGCCAAAGTTGATGATATTTATCAGGCCGACAAACTTACAGTAGATTGATCAGGATTCGAACACTTTCAAAACCATATACTTTGACTGCTAAACCGCTAAACTAAACAATGAAGAATTACTACTGATGGAATATGAAGTATTAAACCTAAAAGAATTAGTCCTAGGATTTTGTTCAAAATTCAAAACGTGATGACATCTAGCCTGTACGTATATATATATAGGCCACAAGAAGCATCATCATAAAGAATGGATCTTTATAGAAACGCTGGACAAGATTAAAGATAGAAAGAACAAGAAGAAAGCAATAACAGCCGAACAAGAGTAGAGAAAGTCAGGGCACAAGCTTAGTACACAGAAGCAAAAGAGCATTAGAGCCAACAAGCAGAAATATGTAGAAGAGCTACCAACGCGGAAAAAGTCTCAAGACAAGGAAATATGAAACAACTATATGACACAACGAAGGAACTAGAAGTGAAATATAGTAAACCAGAGGGACCGGTCAAGGACAAAGGAGGCAAGACAGTCACAGTGCAAAGTCACGCACGGAGGACAGGTGACAGACTCATCCCAAGTGAGGATGTGAGTTAGATAAGGTTGCTTACTCTCTCCCTATCTCTTTCTTCTGGTGGTCAGCCGTATTGTGAAGATCACATCTGAGCGCAAGCACGGATTACAATAGACAGGTTGAATGCAACCAAACGATTTGAACTTCGCAGTTGACTTAACCCTTCTATTCCATACACATCAACAAATGCAGGTCAATATAAGGACAACAATCCTTATTTTTACAATCAAGACTGATATACCTTAACAGAACATTTTATAACTAATGAACTGTAAATACTTACTAAATAGATAAATTTCTTAATAATGACAATTTCCACTTTCGCATTTACCTTTATTTGATTAGATTTTACGGTAGACAAACAATCTATCCAAAAATTTAGATATGTTCTTAAGTGAACTCTTCATCGTGTAGTGACCTACTTTTATGAGAACGCGATTGTTAGAATCAAAACAACTATTATTATAACCAACTGTACCAGTGATTGTTTTACTGTACCTGTTTAAGTGTACCAAAAAACTCATTCTTCCGTTGTTTGTGACCTTGAACGAACTCTCGTACGTTCAATAGTCCCGCTTGTAAACTTTGGCACGACCTCGATATTATTTCGATACCACGAGATCGCCAACAAATACATCTTACTACAACCTTCAATTGTCTTCTGATATTTGGCCTACGGAGGGATCTAACCTGGTAACTGGAACGTAGTCTTTCTGTAGTGGTGATCATAGTCAACCGCGACTCGACGCCTACTGCAATTGTCTATATTCTTTTTAATGTGATCTTAATTGTCGCAAGATAATGTGATACGCTTAAGAGTTACATCTGTTTAAAATCTCTGATATTAATTACTTCTTTTACTAAGGACAATTGTACACATTTCTAATGTAATCAATTACATTCGACTATGACCATTGTATTGTAAATAACCAAAAATTTTGTCCAAAATCTAAATGAATAAACATCAATTCTGATAAACCTATGTTGTTTGATGGATCGAAATGACGCTTGAAAGTTGTGTTAAATCTTTATCGTCAAATAATTGTGTGCTTAATATCCTTGACAGGGTTGTAATAAAATGGATAGATAGATAATTACTAAAATGCGATTGATTTGACAAACATGAAAATTTTTTTTATTGTCTTTTATTTTCCTCTGTCAATCATTCAGTGATCAAATCAAATATGTTTAGATCATCCATGCGTTCTTTCCATTTCATTAATTTAATCAAATAAAAATCAATTATTCTTCTATGATAATTATCGAGCTACATAACCTAAATGTTTATGTAGACACAGACAACCATAATTTGAACAGATGATTTAAGAAAAAAAGGCCCTAACAAGTGAATTAATAAATACTAAAATGATCATTGTCCTGACAATAAAAGCGATTAATTCATCGACTAAGCACTTTTTTTAACATCCAAGGTGGCAGTGGTAAAATATCGTACAATAAAACACAAATCTGTCAAATAACTGAAATTTTAGATTGATTAGAGAAAAGATCAATATTATTGTTTTTTTTGTACACATTTCATTTGTTTATCTATCTTTCATTACATTTAAAACGAAGGGAATACAATAATTTCAAATCAAAGCGATAAAAATAGTGAAAATTATGGTGGTAATAAAAAAGAACCATAACCGAAGAAAGTACATGGACAATTATAAAATAAAAAAATGGGAAAGTTTAAAACAAATAAATGTCTGTTGTTTCACATTTTACATTTTCATAATTCGTCAAAACATAACAAAATAAGGAATTACAAGATTATGAGAGGATAGGGGGAAAACCAACTATATACAGATAGGGCGAGGTGAAGAAGCTGGTAGAAAGTAACAACGCAATATGACTGTGAGTGTGCATTCACAGACAATAAGAGACATTGTGAAGCAGACAAGGATGACAGAAAAACAGTAGAATAAATTCATCGATAACTTTCTTCTGATTAAGAAAGACAGCTATCATAAACAGGGAAGTACAAAAAGATCATTATTACTGGTGTTCTAATTATTATTAATATTGTTATCATTATCAAAGTAGTGGTAAATGCTTTGTGTTTTGAAACATATGGAAGAGAAAAGTAGCAATGATAAGAAAAAAAAACATGATGACGCTGAAAATCAGAAATGCTATACACAAAACAAAAAGGTAAATCAAAAATTGCTAACTACAAAACTATTAAAATCTTTTAGAAAAATGAAACACGCATACACAATGCACATTCGATGTGATTATACACACTATTTACACACCATGATTGGATAGTGGAATTAAGTAGTTCCATATATATATATATATATATATATATATATATATATATATATATATATATATACTTAGACAACATTGAATGGATTGTTGATTAGTTTCCTAAATTAACGATCAAGGCACACGAATGTACAAAATAAACAGAAGCGAAAAATGACTATACTTATAATAAGGCGCTACACACGTACAGACAATATGGTAACCAATAGACTAACTACCTAACGATTAAGCAGTAATTATAATGACATAGTGTTGATGGAAAAAACATACTTAGCTAAAAATAAGAGATGTATGAGTTGCATTTCTTATGGTTATTATACAAATATCTCTCTTTCCACATAGACATATAACCAATAGATATTACGATAAATTAGTGACAAAAGAAAGTTATAATTATTCAAAAATTCATTGTTTAAATCGCTGTTAATACACAGTTTACACTGGGTTGTATGTATAGATTTCTGATAGGATAAACGTGGGTTTGGTAAAAAGATGTTCACAAAATAAGTGGATTAAAAAAGAATACAAATTTTCCAAAAATAAAATAGTAATCCAGTATAATCATCCAGATAGCTCTCTTGTCACAAAAGACATGGGGAAGAATCCAATCTAGACAAAAAAGGAATGGAGAAATAACAAGAACAATACGAATTACACTAAATTATTTAAATTTTTACATTATATATATCAATGACAATTATCACTACAAAAATGATAAACATTTAGAAAAGTAGTGAACAGTTGTTATTAATTCATTCAAAACAACACTCTACAAAAATTAGTTAAGGATAGAATAAGCTGACAAGTTTTTGTTATAGAGGAATATAAATCATATAATATTCGGTAACATAATACTTATCTCACTGAGAAGATTGAACTAGAATGAATTTATTAAAATTGAATTGTGTAATCAATGCTAGACAGTTACCAGATGGAATTGATGAAGTGAGTTGAATAGTTTATACAGTTATTTTTTGCATAACATATTATGTTCTACTTTATAAATTAACAATAAAAACTTACTGATATTAAGAGAGGTTAAATGAAATTAAACAATCACTGAATAGATTTATTCTAACAATGTAGTTTGATTTTTCAAAAATATTAATAAACTATTACGAGCCATAGCTACAGCTCATAATCATTTCTAATAAAAAACCTTTAACAGGATTATGAAGATATAGAAATTAAAGGTGAATTACTTTACTGGAAAAGAACTATTTGACGAAATATCTTTGGTTCCTCAGTTCTTCCGGTAAGCCCCAGGCTAAGTCTACGCAGCAACATGAACACAAGAGAGAAGGCGTGAAATATGGAAGAAATGCTTTACTCCAAGGTTCGTCTATGTACAGAAAATCTAGGGTATTTATACCATTTTAGATGGCCTTGGACTTCCAGAAATTTCTGGAACGCTAATAAACATAATAGTAGTATAGGTAATCATCCAATCAGAAACGCGACATGTGAATTCACTTTCTAGATGTTTCTCATAAAGTTTCTATTGAATGCTACCTGGATAAGATGTTTCTCAGAGTTTTTAAAGTTTATTGAGCTTGTTTTCGAGGAATTTTCCGGATCACCCTAACAGTGATCATTACTGTAAGACTATGAACCATTCTATATATTACATTAATTTGCATGAGAATTATTAAAATGTAAGTTTTGAGACGAATGCAAAACAGGTATGAAAGAGAATTTGTTTACTCTTAGGAAAAGCGATTATATACAAAAGAAAATTACTGGTAATTTCATAGTAGGGAAGCGTGACTACTTGAAAATAAATAAGTAGAAGACTAATTAATGAAAATATTTGAAGTGTTAGTGTAAGTCAAAACAATTTAATATGATCACGCAACAGAACAAAATGTGAACAACACTGAATCACTGATAGTCATACAAACTTCTCGTTAAAACTTTAATTTTATTAGGAATTATTAAAATGATGAATACTTTGACATGTAAACGATTCCTTAGAAAATCCAAAGGAAAATTAACTAGAAACGTTTTTAAATGAGGTGAAAAATAACCGATATTTCTAAATATTGAATGGTTAAACCTAATATTGAAAATAGACTGGGTCGTTAATTCAGTTGCGTGTGAAAATATAACACAAGGGTTTCACAATGTTAACATGTGAAAAGAAACGTATAAACTTACACGACCATTTAACCATCCCTTCCACCAGCCTCTGTCTTCAGCTGCACGACTAACTACAGCAATTCGATCACCTCCTTTCAAATTCAAGAAACGACTATTAGACGTATCATGAAAATCGAAATTTGCACGAACATAGAACAATGGTGATGCTATGTAAAATGAAAGAAATACAGTTTAATAATGAAAAAGTACGTTAACCTTGATAATATATTCACGTACATTTAATTAATATGTCCCACTAACTATATAAAACTATATACAATCTATACATGCCATGAAATCCGCTACAATCATAGTGAAAATGAAGAAATAAACAAACGGATAAATTAATGATAAAAACTATTAGATAAAATAAATAAATTCGAAATTCTAAGATACATTAGTTTAGTTTATTTATTTGATATTGAATATGATATAAAACTGTTTGAAACATAAAAAATAGAAATGGTATTCACATTTTCACATCATACAACATATGTATCTCAGTCAATTTAGTTTGACTAAGTAATGTTTAGAAATTAATTCAAGTTGTACTTCAAAACTACACTAACAACCATTAAATAGTTTTATCATATAGTGGTAATTTTTTTACCAGTGATAAAATCTAGTAATTTTGAGAAATGAAGTTTCCATTTGAATCCTCCTTACTTTAGACGTGACAAAAGTAGTACAAATTTAATTGTCAAAGAAACCAATTTTCAATGTTTATTTTACCATTCACCTGACAACTCAAATACATTGATGAATAGACACAGAATGAAAAGAAAGAAGTATTTTACAAAGTATTAAATAAAACATTTAACTTGTATCTTTTATGCAAAATATACCTATATTCTATGCGAATGGTGTTTGATGGTCAAAAATATAACTAACAAGTCAATCTTAGCTTAAATTTTGGTAATCTTATGAAATATAATACACAGACAAGGATTTCTCTCTCAAAAGACTTGATGAAGTCTGAATGTCATAGCACTCCAATGACCTTTGTCTGAATAAACATACTAATAAGATTATTTTTACCTATAAGATAACAAACCTGAGATAAATTGCCATTTAACTAACGATCATAAAAATCAGAATACAATGAGACCAAACCTTTACGCAATTGATGGACACTGGTCAAAACTTACCTGATAAAAAAGAGGATTCAGGTGGAGAATTCAGGATACATTATTATAATGTATTATGAATGATCAAAGAAACTTTATTCAACCTGACGTGTTCCAAGGAATATATGTGTTAGCTTAGTCATCTTGAAGTAGTTAGTACAATTTCTAAGCATCACCGAATAATTGAAATACTTAGCAATTCATTCAATTATGAGCAGCTTAGAACCTTGCACATATGTGTATCCATTCAATTTGATAAACCATAACAACACAGTGAGACGAAATTATCAAGACAGATGTCAGAGTAGTAGAAGTAGTAACAGTATCAGTAAAATGTGCGGTGATATAAACCATTAGGCATAGACAATATAGTTCGAGAGGAAAGAATGAATTCGTTAAATAAAAAGCATATGTATAAAACTCAAGATCTAAGGGAAAACATAGTGAATGTATATGTGGTATTGTGACTGACTCTGACCTACTTCGCCCAATCTCCAATTATTCATTACAATAATCTTGATGACCTCAAATGCACCTACCGACCTCCTTTAATGAAACAGTCAGTGATTCTATTGGCCGATGTGACATATTGATTTGTCCACCCCTAGTTTTCCCCCATTTTATTTTACACAAGCAAACATTACTTACTGAAGTAGACGATGGTTCAGTAAAGAAGATCAAATACAGGTATATATATACGAAACCGAAAGGTACGTAGTAGAAAAGTATGGGTAATAATAGTTAACTTACAAGGACACCTCTGGTAGGGATAAAGTAATGTGATATCAACTTCATCGAAGCACCGATTTAACGACACTTTGGAGTAGTTGTCAATTACGCACTAAAGAGATAGACACGTGGGGAGAAAAGTATTCAATGTATGTGTATTTTTAAGAGTTTATACTTTACAACATCAAGTTTCAAAAATTATAAAGAAAATACTTCATGATTGTATGCTATCAAATCCTTTTTGTTGACAAAAAATGCAGATTTTGAGAATTTCCAGAATCACAAAAAAGTTGTTATTCCCTCATAATGAACCTTACTTAGAAATAAAAATACTGTTACTAATACATCTACATTCATCAAATATTTTGGCGTATACGCGACTCACTAAAATGTTTCAGGACACAAATAGCTACAAATATAGATTGGTTATTGATTGAAAATTTTATTAACTGCTTTGGTTAATGTTTATCAGATCTTTTTTACTGAATATTGAAAAGAATATTACGTACTTGCTAAATTTCATTGACTATCCACACTAAAACTAACTCTTAATGACTACTCTTCAACTAAATATCTGTTTTTATTGTCCGAGAACATTTACGTGAAATCTTTGAGATATAGATTGATAACTGAAAAAAGTGATTAAGGTGCTTCGGTCGTATAAGATTTATACATCTCTTGTTTTCAAAGACCAATATATATCTCACGCATAGTATGAAAATTAAACGACTAGTAGATTAATTAACTACTTTTCTCGATAACCTTGAGGGAACGTTTAGTGATGCCTATTTCGACGTACAGAACTGTACCTAGAGAAAAAGTTGGCAATAGGTACTTCGTGTTTAACATTTTGTCTCTTCAGTAATTAGCTACTAACTATAGTCTGAAAATATTCCAGTAAGTTGTTTTTATTTCGATAATATATTTCATGGATTTGAGAGTTTACATGAGCTTAACTACGAAAATGATATGTAGTTCGATGATGAAGGTAATGGCTAGTGAAATCTAAGTGAAAGTGTGCTATGAGTAAAGTCATCCACAGAACTTTCAATAACTAACTCGTCTTGCTCAATTTTATCGTCGCTCATAGGTCATATGGTCGAACCACCTCTAATAACCTGCATAATAGTAGTTGAAAGAAAGTATGAGGATTCATATGTTTCGATAGCCTCAGGAACTGACAAAGTCAGTCAGTCATACACAACCAACAAACGTCACTACAGGAAATTATCTTTCAAGAAATTTTAAACAACAATCATTTGGAAAACAGTGAAATTAAAGAACAATGAACAAAAACCTTAACCTTCACTCGAAAATCTCAACCAAGTTCCAGTAAGAATAATAATATTAATAATAAACACTAGCTTATTAGTTAACGAAGAAGACATACCGGTATATTTGGGAATTGTTCTAATTCACAAAGACCATATGTAATACAGGAATTATCAGATGATGAAAAACGCTGTATACGAATATGCCGTGGATGGCCGTATACAACAGATAGTGAATATTCTCCCATTCTTTCAGCACTTTTAGACAGACGTACAAGAAATGTACCGTCGATACAATTACTTAATAAATTAACAGCTTCAAGTCTGTCCATTTCACCAACATACCTATTATTTGCATCAACAAAAATAGATTTACAAGTTAGAGAAATAAAAATAAATGAATTAGGCAGAAGCGAGTAAAACGAATAGAAAAACAGTTGGTTGAATGAAAACAGTAAAATGCCAACATACAAAACGATTAGTTATAACAGTATGTATATATATATAACTTGAATTAAGCATGCTTCCCTCGTGCTACTGTAAAAGTACACAAATATGGAAGAAAAAAAACAAAAGGAAAGGTTATCTGGAATTTAAGAAATTATTGAGAGAAACAATTATATACATACCCATACCAATGAAATCTTAACAAGTATGACATCATTTGAATGTTCTGATGAATAGAGGATTCTTTTTTAGTTAAATAAAATTATTTTGCATTCTATATAATACAAATCAACTATTCATAATAATCAGCATGAATAGTGTAAGTTTTGTTGAGAAAAACATGTTATAAAAATGTTAACCGATGTTGATAATTATCAAGTACATCAGTCGATAAAATTATTCTAATGTAAACTTATTTATTGTTGATGTTGACTATATAATGGCTTTGTAGTAAGATACCAATAATGTTTAAAAAAAACAATTCCAAGCCGTTCACATTCATCATCCTGTGATGAAGCATATAATAACCACCTGAAACAATGAATATATACCTTCAGATATAAATTAAAATGCAAGGAGTAAGAATTTGCATCATTTTAAATGATGTGATTATACACTGCAAATTGTTGCATCTTGTCGATAACTGATGAAAGCTAAAACGAATAACTATGAGATTCCCAGGTAATATTAGAAAATTATTTGTGATACAACGATATTACGATTGAATAACAGTTTGGTATTATTTGAACTTGAATGATCATTCAACTGACATAGTTATGCAGATGAAACTTGTCTGCTAAATACAGGTTTATGTACTCGGGACTTTGAGTCACAGTATTTATGAGAGAGCTAGTAATCCTACCCAACCTTCGAAAGTGAAATAGGTAGAGTATGGTTCCAATATATGACCTACTGCTGGCTAAAAGCTAAATTTCTCAGAAACTAAACCACCAGTGAAACCTATACATTTAACACTAGCTAAGATTACTTATATTTCAAAGTGTAACAATAGTTAATACCATTAATCAACTCAGAAATCAAAACAAATATCATGTGTATACATGACAAAGAAGTTTTGCCACATCTACGGAGAATATACTAACAAGACACAATATGTCTACAAAGACAAAAATAAAATTTATTCAGGCAAATGATGAATGAACATTTAAAGATTGATTGATCACACAACTGTTCAATTCAATTATCTATCATAAACAAAAAGCACAGGTTTATTTTGGAAATAAAATTTTTGATGTTGTAAACACATATAATTCTAGTATCAGAAGGGGTTTCGTGGAGATTGTAGTAATTTCGATAGTTAAGATCATGAGTCGATTGAAGCTACTGTCTACTGAAATCTTACAACTCCATTTGTATCCATTGTAATGATAAATTGATTTACAGCAAGAACTAAACAAGTCATTATATAATATTAATCATCAATTACACACTGAATAATTATACAAAGCTATTCATGTTCACATATGAAATTCATCAACAAATAATAAATAAATAGTGTTTACTTGATGTTTCCACTTAATTAAGTATATCAGGAAAGGTAAATATCAAACTTTAAAACCAAATCGAATTATTTAATAGATTTGTGGTTTCATAAAACTTAAACTACAATTTTAAACGAGGAATTTCTTGTTGACCTAGTAGATTTTGTTGCATTATCCAATGACTACATTCAGCTCACATATCTATCGACAGTAATTACATTAGCATTCACAGAATAAATTTGTTAATCTGAATATATACTTCTCGATGATATCATTGTCTTAATGTCTCGAAATAAGATCGGTTTTAGCCGACTAAATACTACTTAAAATGAAAAAGAATAGTAAACTGGTTATCTTTGTTTTCTCATTCATTACTAACAGCATTCTTTATGTCAGAATTAAGTATATTTTCTTTGTGTTGTTACAGTTAAGCAAATTCAAGGTTAATGTTTATTTAATAACAACTGATGATTTGATCAGCATACCAATCATTGCAGGTGACAAGTACCGTTTAAGTTACATTCTGTAATAAACTTGAATCCCCATAATCCCATTAATCAACTTATAAGTTCTTCAAGACATTTGTCGTCCAGTTTCAAATTTATATAAGAAATTAACTTGATCTCCTGAATTTAATACTAATTTGAAATTAATGATATTTTTATAGCCGTCTATCACAGAATACTACTGTATTTATACTAGTATTCATTTGTTTATTCAATAAATTCTGTTGCTATAGCCAAACAACAAAATGCATACAAGGAATGTACACCACATCTTTTTATTTTAATATAAAAGACACATAAAAGATAATAATAATATAATAATATAATAATAATAATAATAATGTTAGGTGGTTGGAAATAGACTGCGGGAAACACTATCTGAACACGGTTTCGTGCTAGTTAGCATTCCTCAGCAAGGAGTATCTGTAATATTGAGAGAATTAATGCTTTGCACTAGATTAGAATCCATGTCACTCACATTCAGTCTCGGACATTCGAATCTAACATAGTGTCAGATCCTTTGGAATTGCGGGTAAACCTTACTAAAGAGTGTCAACTCGCATGAATCCAAAGTCAAGCAGAGTTTTCTGCCTACTAACTCCAGCCACCTAAAATTGAAAAATAGTGAAGGCGATGTTAAATCATTTATACTAGTAGCCTCATTTCTACTTAATCGATGGAATTCAATAATCTCTGAGGTCTAGACAGAAATGACGTTAGTCAATATTCAATTATCAATCAACCGCTTAATTAGTTAATTAAACAGTAATAATAATGCCAGCAAATTATCGATATTTTGGCATAGGTTGGCTTTTCAAACCTTTAAAAATAGTGGAAATAGTATGCATGGGCATAATATATTCTCTTAAACTGTGGAAAAAACAATATCAAACCAAATAGTGTAAAATAATTTATGAATTATAAATAAAAACTACAAATTGTACATAGAGTAACATAAAACAGTCAAATGACCATGCAAAATGACACATAGCAATCCAGCAATTAAGGTAAACAAACCCAAACATGCAAATTATATACATAAGATGGACACACAGCATAGAACTGTAAAGTAGCTATCTAAGCAGTGATAAAAAAGCCTAGATTGAAACAAGTATTTACATGAATAAAATTTAGAAATAAAGAACAGACAACTACTGGACAGAATTTCGTTCAAAGGCTTTAATTTAGCTCCTAATATATCGACAAGTATTTTGATTTTTAAAATTTATTGTAGTTGACATTAGAAATAGGAAAATGCTACTGAAAAATAATAACACTACACCGTATTTGCTACACACACTTAAATGAGTTGGTATAACTTATTAGAACAATATTTCTTGTAATTGGAAAAAAATTGATTACTTTAGATATTTTTCTACAACGATAAATAAGAAATACACACTTCATATTATAAATGTACATTATACAAATAAATAAAGATGCACAGTTTACCAGGGAAAAGTCGACAGAAAGTAATGTGAATGGTCCACCATTAGATCTGTTGGAAAATTTTCAAATCTCGAGGTGACTGTTGCACTAACTGTTGCAGTTTGTGTAGTTGACAATACTGATGGAACTAAATCAATACACTGAGATAATTCGGGAATTTCCAAAGCTGATAAACTACGCTTTTTCAAACGTCGAAACATTAATGGAGGATATGAATTATTTATATTCATATTCACTGGGATAAAAGATGTTAATGATGAGCAAGGAGGACTAGGAATATTATTATAATTATTACCGACGATAGGCGATAGACTGTTATTTAAAGTTTTATTTGCTATTGTACATAAAGGTAAATTGGATGGAGACGTTTCATTTGGTGAAAAGAAAGGTTTCTGAACTGAAGAATTATTATTATTAAAAACTGGTGTTCGATCAGAACTAGACGATGAAGATACTTGATGAGAAAATCTTGTACTGCTTGGCTAATTAAAATAAAAATGAAAATGAATAAAGTAAATATCCCTAAATGTATTAAGTCAATCAATAAAACTAGTATACACATAAACATGCTTACAAAGGACAGAGCACATGCATTACATAGAAAATATAAAATTTACACTAATGATCAACTCGTGCAAATCAAATTTCCAACTAAAAAGCAAATATAAATAGACACAACCGAGCTAGAAAAACAAAAAGTGTCGAAACAGACCAGTCATAGCCAGTAAGAGGATCATGACTGTCTACGAGTGACGTGACAGTCTGTCTGGTTTGACGTAGGCAAGTATCCACCAAAATATTATTATTGTTGCTATTATTATTAGTAGTAGTAGTACAGTTATTGTTTAATTTATTGTGTTGATGAGGAAAGTGTTCCAGATCGAAGTTTAAACAAATTTCTTTGGAATTATTTGTTGAAATTGAACAATCTGGGGGTAAACTGTGCCGAGAAGGATTCCCTATCAAAGTCGACAGCGACATAGCTGGATTGTTGGTAAATGTTGCATTCGAAGTACCAATCTGAATTTATTGATGAGAATGCAATCCAAAGAAAATAAATAAATAAGTAAAGGCTTCACAACTGATTGTTGTGGTCCATTAATACTTCATTTAATTACTTTTTATCAGGAAAAAAATAAAATGTATTCATTCAATCTTAATATACACATTCATTTGGGAAAAAAGCATTTAGTTCAACCAAGAATTACTATCTAAATCAGATATGAACAAACGTTTTTAATATGAAGTACCATGTTCTGTCATAATAATTTCAAATTACCTTAGCTTTAATATAGACCTGATGTAGTTTTCCCAGCTTAGATCGGAATCATAAGAAATTTCGGTGAGACTATAATTTATGGACGATCTTTAAGTGACACTAAAGTCTCTTTGAAAATGTCCACCTACTGACTAGTGTTAAATAAGGGTTATAAACCAGTGTGAGGAATTAGGATTATGAGTTACAATTGATGGTTAGGGTTAGAAATTAAATTTGTTGTTTTCATCACGAACTGACATCACCTATAATGCCAAAATGCTATTTAGCCAAATGGATGAAGGAATTTCGCGCCAAAATCCAAGACCTATTACCTTAAATTTGATTGATTTGTCCATAAATGTCAATCAAGTAATATTTGTCATCACTCCCCATTAAAAGTCATAAATTAGAATCATCCAGATGAGTTGATATTAGCAGAAAAAAATGTCTTACATACACCCCGGAGGTATTAGAATGTCGAATGAATTAGAACAAGACAAGTAATAACCATATGATGAGCTATAAGTTGAAATCACTATCTTGTGTATCTAATTTACAACGATACTTGAATGCTTTATACCAAACAGCTCAGAGAAAGAAATTCCATCAAAATCATCTTCTTGAAATACAAATCTTCGGCACCACCTATTGTCTCAAAGACACTTAAATTTTACTACATGTTGAGGTTCAAATTGTCATTAGGACCTTAAATAAAGAGCTTGTTGACCAATCGCAGAAAAAAATGGTAAAAGAGAGAGAACAACTTACTTTATTCATTTTATTATTCACCACCATTTCAACGAGATTAGCAGGGAACCAACCTTCAGACCCATCACAGTAACCCTGAATGTTGATGATTTGAAATTTAAAAAATTAAGAAAGGTAGTTGATAGAATCAAATTAATCATCAATAAGAATTAATGTGGATAAAGTTGAATGGAAGCTACTGTTTGGAGACAGTATAGAAGTATAACGAAGTTTATGGAATGTTTATATTTGAAAAACACCCAGTTCTTATCTAAAATAGCATACAAGTAATTATTTAATTTTGTGGAAAAGTTTACTTACTTCTAACCCGCTCTTTTGGACAAAATCATGAATATTTACATTGCATCTAATCAAATAGACAATTATGAGTCAATGAAATTATCAAAAATAATAAACAATATAGAATGTACTGATGCAATGTCAGTAGTGGGTGTCTTCATCAGCTTTTCGAAATGGAGAACATCGTCTTTAAAATATCTTTTGCTATTCAAGTGAATCCATGATGGTTGACGTTAGAGATGAGCTAATAATTGGTACAGGTGGAACTTTTAGAAATATTTTACAGTGGGCTATGACGTATACACCTACTGTGTATATATTGGATATTTACTTTATGGTAGTTTTTTTTATATTGTCTTGATTATAGGCTCTCATTTAAGTCGTTAACTACTGAAATATGTCTTACTACCCATAAATTATCTCCAATCGATTATGCATCCGTTACTCAGTTTGTATTATAAATGATCTAGTTATGTAAAAATTGTGATATCCTATCTGTAGTGTTATAGTCTTTCAACAGATGTACATTATCATGAGTTCTTAAGCCACGTACAGACAGCAACAAGGTTGAATGTTTTCACGTTCTGACTAGTCAGTGAGGATAGTAATTGAGTGGGCCAATATGCGTTAGGTTTTCAATGGTGTCATTGTCCAAGCAAAACACTATTCGTCGACTCGGTCACTTAGTGAACTGACTAGGTGGATATCAAGAAGTTGAATCCATAACAGAACGTTTATTCATCTATAAGTCATAAGTTTGAATGTTGATCGACCTACTTTGTCGTTTCAGAGGATAAGTAATATTACTAGTCTCCATGTACAAAACATCCTGTAAAGTTAAGTCTATAAACTTGTACTTATCAGATGATTGTGGAGTTAGTTCAACGGCATCATAAAGTCAAATAAAGCTTTGACGGGTGACATTCAATAGTGAATTACTCAGTCCATACAATCAATCAGTTATTTCCCTTGAATGAAATCATTGTTTTCAACTAAAAATTTACAAAAGCATTGCTTGTGTCTACAAATAATGCAGTACAGAATGATTTAAGCTGTATATATTCAAAAATAAAGAATATGTTAATGTATACTGAATTTACGGAAACTATAAAGTTACACAGTAATGTATGACTGTTGGTCGACATGCAGAATCAAATATTGCATAAATGTAGCTAAAAAGCCAAGTAAACAAATCTGGTCGTTAATATCTTATACTATTGATAATAAAGAAATCCACAAAATTTATGTTCAGTGGATATTAAACTACATGTTATAGACGTTACGTATTCGAAATTGACAAAAGTTCATTTTTAGTAGGTAGTTGTTCGTCGATAATAGTAGAAATAAAACTGGGATTATTTTCTGTGACATATATACTATCGATGATTTACATGACTATAATTCAATATGCATCGGAAAACATATAATTACACAATGTTAACTTTTGAAGGAGACCCGAAATTTTGAAACATGTCATAACAAGAGCAGTTTTATCATCATCTTGGAAAACATATGATAGACAAATAGGTAACAAACTATTCCCACTAGTTTAGTATAATTCAAGGTCAGTATGAAGTACATGTGTGATTAGATTATGCATATTTTGAAGATTAGGTGACTTGTTAGTGTGCAAAGATTGATATTTAGCTAGAGAATTTTATAATATAGAGATGATTATTATATTTTCAAATAGTTTACAACTTTCAGTGGTAACTTTAAAGAGATTACAAGTCATAGTTAAATAACTATATACTGAACTGAATACATCATCATGACAAAACTCACCTGCCACCATGATGAGCCTTCAGTCCATTTGATCAATTCAACTTGATCTCCAATTGATAATCTCAAAGGATGACTACCTGATGGTGGGAGAGGATCACCATCATATGCTTTTCGTGCTATAGCAAAAGTTGGATTCACTGGAGGAATACTTGATGTAGGTAAACCTGAAGATATACGTCGATTACGTTGTAAAGTGACATTCGACAGATTGTTATGATCAGTTGCAAGCCAGTGGTTCACAGAAGATAATGTATCAGTTAACTGTGAGAAGTCAAATGATTCTGAATTAGATAATGAGTTGTTTCCAGGTGTACATGGCACACTTCCCATCGTTACATGAGAACGTCGACTACGTACTGTATTGATCTGTGGAGGTAATGGAGGTGGGGCACTTGGAGGAACTCCATTAATATGTGGATTAGCCATACCACGCAGTGGAAGATTATGATTGGCAAGACAACTTTTATGTGCAGCTCGATTTGTTTCTGCATATAGAAAGTAAAATAAGGTACTCTGATATAAAAGAGTATAAAAGGGTATAAAGTACTCTTTTAGTATCAATTAATTAAAACATTACACAGGGCGTCACTACGTATACCAAGATTGTAATATATGATACAGCGAATAAAAAGAAAACTACTGCTACACAGCTTTAAATAAGGGGAAGTTTATCAGAAGTCTACGAAAGTCACACATTTGATTACCACTTTCGGATAAAAAAAATCGACTTTAACCAATTTGCAATTAAATCAAGTAAATATAGAGAAGCGGAAGTGATTCTTTCTTTTCTTGGGTCATCAAAATGAGTTGATCTGGAAGAGGGGAATGCCAGTTGGCGAGACTGTTATTTGTGGACAAACCAATGAAATTACGTCATTGATCCAAATAATTAAACAGAATTTTGGCATTATAGCTTATATCAGTTCGTGATGAAAACTCTGGCTCTAATTTCTAACCCTAATTCTTCATCTTATTTTTAACTCTCTTTCGACTTCAGTGAGTTTTCTTAAGGTCACTTTACGTCACTCAAAGGTCATCAATCAATTATAGTTTCAAAGGTCAGTTCTCTCATGTTTCATTCATATCTTATAGCACCTAATTACAAGTCATGAAAACTCATATGGTAGGATGGAATACGCAGTTTATTTATATGCGAACTTTTCAAACAGAAGGGTCGATGGAAATACTGGTAACATTGTAGTGATACACTTTGTGCCAAAATCTTGTAACACAGACCAACACCAGTCTTAAGCTTTCCTTATAGTGAAAATAAATTCTTATATTATGATGGTACTACCATGGCACAACAGGGCTTCGAGGAATTAATATCGCAGGCAAAGAACTCGAATGTCAAATTGACTACTACTCTAAAGATTGAAAGATATGAACTTCGAAAATAACTCGAAGTCACACTTTAACTCGAACTGCAGACACATCATAAAACACCGTATGACTTTTTCACATATATTATTATCCAAAGTACCTAGATATATTAATACATTATGTATTTTTAAGTAAGCGTCCGTTTCACAAAGGTAAGAATAAGCAAATACAGAAAAAAAACACGCTAATAATTTCACTCAGAACAATGTCAGGAAGGTTGTTATATATATGTATATAACAATCAGACTAGACAGAACAAGGTAAACACTATATGAATTAAACAAAACCGATATTAATTCTCACTAAATGGACATGAAAACAAAATAAAAGTATTTATTCTGATCATATATATAATCAGAACGGTGCTGGTATTCTGTAGTGTTAATAATAATTCTAAAGCATGTCTGAAAAGAAATAATCTTTATTATTGTCTTTGTATGAAGCAATAATGCACACTCCAACCGATACATACAAAAACACATTCAAAGTGAACTTCATTCTTTTAAGAAAAATGACAAAAATTAACAGAAGAATGAAATTTAATGTTACAACACAATCAGAGGATTAACACGAAAGGTAGGTTAGAATAGAATGACCAACTGTTAAAGATGAAAAGAAGCAGTTTTTTTTACTTTTATAGTAATACACAAACAAAATATTATTATCACTTGTCATGTTTAATAAGCCAAAACAATGAAAACTAATTTTTACATTTTGTCTTTGGCATAAGGGCATTTTGAAGATAACATAACATTGTTATTAGGTATAGGTTTCATGCACTTAACTTTCAGTCGAGTTCTAAATGTGAGGACTGGTTATATCACTGGACTGTTCAGACCGACGTATGTGGAACGGAATTCAACCATATAACTTAGTGACTAAAAGTCAAGCGATTTAACCACTGGGTCACTGCTAACGCTTTGCAGTCTATCGAGAATAACAATCATAACATAGAACAGATGGTTATAAAGCATAGGCTTCGAGAAATGTAAATACAGACTTATTGTTTCATTCAGGAAGCTTGGACTGTAACTGCTATAGTTTCTTTTTCGCAATCAACAGAAAGTTAATATAACTAGTTGAAGGGTTTCCAAGTTGTATACAAAAACTTATATATTTATCTATTGAAACATAAACAGTAGTAAAGATGGACATCAAAGAAATATGTCTCACGTAAAAAGGAAATTATATTTTGAGGAGATAAATGAAGAATAATCAAACTATTTTTTATTAAAACACATACACATTGGAACAAGAAGGCACCAAATAGATATGAGCCACATAAATCATCCGATTCGTGTGAGGGATGGGATACTGCCTGGGTGCCCAAACCGAAACATGTGGTTTTCTTAGAGGACCACACCCAGAGCTTTTGACCTAAAGTTCTGATCCACAAGACAGTAGAGCAACGTCAGGAGATGCAGTTCCGTGGTAGCCGGTAACTAGCAGTTGGTTCGTATGCCATTTGTTCCTTCAGGATCCTGGAGCCCATGTGCACCACTGGTTTGAAATCAGGGTTTCTCACCCCCCTAGGTAGACCCTTTATATCCACTAACCCAGTTAAAGCTCCGGACATTCGCTTTTCGTCCTCCCAATTTGGTAAAAAAACATCCCCGCCACAAGAAAACAGTGAGTAGGACTTCCCTTGTAGTGGCTGCATACGCATGGCCATGTGAGAGCATTTCGAAAGAGAGAGCTGACTCTCCCCGACCTCGGCCATACCAGGGCCGAGGACAGATTATAGAAGTAAAGATATATCAGTTTAAAAAGTACAGCCTGAAAGAATTCTTTTAGTTATAGAAGTTCCTCTCGTTTTTATAGTAAATGTAAAAAATACTACGGAATGACCATTGTTGACTTCTATTCTGAGCCATGAATGATGTCTTACGCTACCAGCCAACGCCATCTATAGGACTTCAACTAGAGGAGTTGTGATGAACCGACAGATCTCTGTTCTGTATAACACCCTTTGATGCCTTGGTGCTATATCATGAACTAACCATCCCTCAACTCTCTCCAACTAGCCCTAGAATCGCCAAATAAAGCACGATCTCGTAGTCTCTCTCTAAATGCCTTGATAAGGCCAAGGATAAAGAGTTCTAAGTCCATCTCAAAATCCTTTCATATAGCCATGGATTCATAGTCACTGTCAAAGAAGCCCTATGCACTGCTTTCTCACGAAGAGGACATTGTTTACAAAGGTGAGTGAACGAAAAGCCGACATTCTGCGCTTTAACCACATTGGATATAGGAGTTAGAAAACACTAACTCAAAACCAATTGTGTATATGTGCTCTAGGATCCTGAAGTATTGTCTGACGTATGAGTCTATTTTTGGTCACCAGTTACCATTGAAATCCATCTACTGACGTTGCTCCACTACCTTGTAGATTCGACCTCTATGTCAAAGGCTCGAGAAGCGAGGTCCTAAGAAAACCATCTGCTTTAGTTTGGGCACCCATCCCTCTCACAAATATGAATGAATAACTATGAAGAGAACTGATATCCCTTCTCCGCTTCATCACAAAAAAATAAACATACATATACATCAGATAACACATAACTATAATCAGTAGAATAGATTAGGTACACAGAACTTAAAAAAACAATTTTACTGGTGGAACATCATCAGTCAGTCAGTCAGTCAGTAACAACGTAGAACTTCGTACGTACGTACATCAGTTCGAGTTGCCACACCACATTAGCACAGAGATGCAGTGTCGATTCAAATCCCGTAGTAGTAGAGGTAATTAGAGTATAAGCAGTAATCGGGAAGATTAGTGTTTGGAGATGTTATTTAAAGAGTATAATACAGTGAAATAAATTTGAGAAGAGAAAAAAAGAGACAAGGAAGAATAAGGAGATCAAAATTTGGGAGAACACAAAGAGTGGATGCACCTGCGCCATTGCAAACGATTTTGAGCCATGTCATTCAGGGTCTCTAACCATCGGTTGCTATCATCTCGCGGTCCCCAACCAGGTAGTCTACACCTACCAACATGACTCAGTCCACTTGTCAGTGACTTCATGGACTTGTGCCATGTTTTGGTTGGCCGCCCCTAGCTTTCTTCCAACCTACTCCTATACCACTGAACATAGCACGTCGAGGCAGTCGGTCGTTGGGCATACGTAACACGTGTCCCAGCCATCTCAACTGATGAAGTTTCACTACGTCATCAATTGATTTGCCATCCTTACCTAGTACCCGTTTCCTAACAACTGTGTTACTTACTCGATGGTCCCATGATATACGAGCAATGTTTCGAAGACACCTATGATCAAATACTAGTAACCTACGAATATCCTCTACTCTTACCGGCCATGTTTCACTGCCATAAAGTAGGACGGAACGAACTGCTGCGCAGTAAACACGTCCTTTGGTTGATAGACGGATATCTCGCCTACGCCATAAATGACGCAAGTTGGCAAAAGCTAGTCGAGCCTTCTGTATCCGTGCTGAGATTTCGTCACACACTAAACCACAAGGGCTGATGAGACTTCCAAGATAAGTGAAGCGGTCGACACACTCAACTACTTCACTCCCTATCATAGTTCGGGTGTCGATGTAACCCAATCCTGAAGCAACATTTTGCATTTCGAGGGAGAGAATCGCATCCCGAACATGCTTGCATTGTTGCTTAGAGTGGTCAGAAGACTCTGCATTTTGTCAGCGTCTTCACCAAATAAAACTATGTCATCAGCATATTCTAAGTCAACAAGTGAACCTCCCGGTAGAAGTTCAACCCCTGTAAATTTAGATGAGGAGAGTGTTATCTCTAAAAGTACGTCAATGACAAAGTTGAACAAGAATGGGGAGAGTGGACAGCCCTGACGAACACCACTTGAGGTAATCAATTCTGATGACAGTTCGCCATAAGCTCTCACTCACCAGTTGTGTTCGAGTAGAGAGCCTTTATAAGGTTAATGTACTTCTTTGGTACTCCTTTCAGTGACAAACACTGCCATAGAACCTCACGATCAACAGAGTCGAATGCCGCCTTAAGGTCGAGAAATACTACCATTGTGGGGCGTCTGAATGTGTGTCTGTGTTCTAGAACCTGACGTAGTGTGAATATCTGATCTATACAACCACGTCCAGGTCGAAAACCAGCCTGGTTTTCTCTAGTCTGCTCTTCACGAGCTTTGTTAGGCGTCGAAGTATTATTGAAGCTAATATTTTAGACACTATATTAGTCAAACTGATTCCTCTGTGATTGTCACAAGAGGACTTTTGTCCTTTCTTAAAAACTGGCACAATCAGTGATTGAGACCAGTCAGATGGGATTACGTCCAGTTCCCAAATTCTACCTAAGACCTCAGTTAATCTCATTGCTAATACTGGACCACCATCCTTAAAAATCTCAGGAGTAAACCTGTCAGGGCCTGCTGCTCTCCCTCGTTTCAGATTTCCTATGGCTTTTTCAACTTCGTAAAGGGACGGAGGACCTACATTAACTTGCCATTCAGGTTGACTGGAGATCGTGGGAAACCGAAGTGTGGCTGAAGGCCAGTTGAACTGATCCCTAAAGTGTTCTGCCCATCGATCCAATCTCCTGGATTGAGAATGAATAATATGTCCATCTTTCTCTGAGATTGTTTCGCTAACGGTCGGGTTCCTAATTCCGGTTTCCTTAACGAGTCTGAACAATTGTCTGCTATTACCTATTGCCGCTGCCTTTTCCATCTCTCTTGCTTTCGCTACCCACCACTGTTCGCGATCATTGCGTAGACTTCTTGTCAGCTTGCGCTTAAGCTGACTCCGCTCTTCATTATGTTCAGAGCCAGGTGGAATGAGTTTCCGAGCATCTATCAGTGCGATAGATGCTGCTGAGATCCAGTGTTGCTCCCTAACCTTACGGTTTACCTTACTAGCAGATATCACTGCTGTTTCCACAGCTTTTCGGATATCATTCCATGCTGCATCGGGGTGGGCATCACATACATGGCTGCCTAACTGTTTTCCTAGTTGTTCCTGAAATATACTCTTAGCTTGACTATCATTAAGTAGGGCCCTAAGAGGTTTCCTTGCAGCGTCTTTCCTACGTCCAGTAAGACGCAAGCAAATACGCGCTCGCACTAGAGCATGATCTGAATCTAGGCATGTGCTCCAGAATGAGCGACAGTCTTCTATCGAGCCCCTCCATCGGTGGCTGATAGCGATGTGATCTATTTGGGTCCAACGTTGGGACGAATTAGGGGGTCGCCATGTTAAAAGATGTTTTTCCTTATGCTTAAAGTTAGTATTTGCAAGGAACAGGCGGTTATCTGAGCATAGCTGCAACAGACGGTCGCCATTATCTGTTCTTTGAGCCACGACACCATAAGATCCACCTAGGTGTCTTTCCCTATCGCTTAGTTTACCTACTTGAGCATTAAAGTCACCGGCCACTATTACTACATCCGAGCGCCTAGCTTTTCGGAGAAGGTCGGAAAGCTTTCTGTAAAACTCATCTTTTACATCATCTGAGCTGCAGTCAGTGGGAGAATAGGCAGAGACGACGAAGAGGCAACGACGAGTGTCCCTATCTTTTCGGATCCTTACTGTTCCGTTCAGTCGGACAGCGCACAAACGACTGTCTACTGGGATCCACTCTAAGAGAGCTAGTTCTGCCCTAGGACTCAATGCTATACCTACGCCGGCGAGGCCACGGGAAGCAGAATCAGGGCTTCCAGATACACGAAGTGTGAATCGAGTCGGTTCTTTATTTTGGCATGGTGAGGTCAAATGAATGACGCTACTCGGATCCTGTATGCGCGTTTCGGAGACGCAGCACACATCGATGGCGCGGGATTCTAAAGTCCTAGCTAAGGAAGCCTGTTGTCCTATTTGGCACAGTGTTCGGACTGGTGGAACATACACACACAGCCACAAGAATTTAAGGTTACGCTACAAAAAAAGGTAAACTGATTGTTAAGAATTTTTGACCACAGAAAGAAATTTAATGCACTACTATTTGGATGCATATAAGGGAGTTGAATGAAACCTTGTCATTGTCATTATTGATTAATGAAGTAATCAAAATTTGATGCACCTATCAGTCTAAAAAGGCACACACACATACACACGCAGAGAGAGACAGAAAGATAGCGGAACAGCAAGAATAACATTTATAAGAAAAATATTATTTTCATTAGTAATAACAGTCTTCAACAATTAGTTGTGTCATAATCCAGAGGGTTAAAATTTTTGTACATACTTTAGAGTCGGTGACTGCATGGTTTGATATGGCTACTAGTACTACTATTACCAGTACTGATTCAGTAATCAGTCAACCTGAATGCAAAACAGTCAATCTACATATAGGCAGAAGTAGAAGTATTTTTATATATATTTTTAAGCTAACATTATTCAAAACCATGAAGCCAAAGTAAACACATTGCAAAAATTGAAGAAAAAAAGTTCTTGCTCAAATTTTCAAGTGGACCTCAAAGGAATCAAAATAAAAACATACTTAGCACAGCAATCCTCCGTCGCATTCACATATGAAATAATTAATAAGCACATAAACTAAGAGATTTACTGAAACTGTTATCAAAAGATTTAGACATTATCATATGCCAAAAAAATGTTAATAAACTCCATGGTTTCAATTTCCCAAGTTCAATGATACAATATTTTACAGCAAACTGTAACTGTTTTAAAATCCGATAAAAATATTTTCGTCTATATACAAGCTTTTGTCATCTTACTGAACTATGAACTCTCTTAGAGTTAATCTCCAAACTTCTGGAAAACTCCGTGCTTCAAAATCAATAATCATGATCAATGGTTGAAGATCTATACTGAATTAGATCAAAACTGATCATAGCGATGTAAATCATTTTTTTACTGATGACTAAATGTTGAGTTCCACTAAATGTTCCCATAATTTCTTTTTATTTTCTTATCACATTTTATTTATTCAGAACATATTCATTCTAATGAATTTTTATTACGGTAATTGATACTAATTAATATTCCAACTTCTTTGCTATTCTCATCTTGCTGTAAGATGAAATATGGCAATTTGAACTGATGAATATTTACGGCTGGTCCTATACTACAATAGTTGGTTGTAACTGATTGACTAAATGATTGATAAACTGATTTTTGTAAATAATTGATACAAGTATTGTGGATTGCAAACAATTAAAGAAAATTAACGAATAAAAAAATGAATAAATCCATTTTATCACTGTGTTACAAGTTTGCACTACATATATATTTGTTGATTGTTTAATGCTGTTCTTTTTTTGTGAAACATTTTCCGTTAATAGTGTTAAGGATAAAAATGTTACAAAGATTAATTTTGTAAACTAAAAACAGTTACTACTCGTAACTGATTCCTTAAAGGATTCATCTACAAGTTCTATTGTAAACAAAACATGTTTCAATAAAAGTTTAATTTTTAAGTGTAACAAAGCGAATACTTATTTGTCTATAATGACATGAACGTATAAACAAATTTAACACAATTAACTCTGATTTAATTTATTTTTTTAGTGAGTGATGGATTACAAATGAGGATTGGTCAGTAAAATTGTTAAACTTATTTCAACAAAGAGAGGAAGTATGGTATGTGATAGTTATCCTCAGAACAGTGATTACCAATGACTTTTAAAATTGGAAGAATTCCTTTATAAAAATTTATATAAAACTTCAGAACACTTCAGCTTTTTATAAAACGAACATTAAAAAAGTTAGCTACACTAGTGTTGAGAAATTAGCGACCAAATATGAAAGCTCAAAGTATAACACAAATTACAAAACGAGCACACAATCTGATGAAATTAAATGTTTGAATAGAATTTTTACAAGAAGTTTACTAAACAGGTGTTAAGCTATGGAGAAATTTATTGGACTACAGTTGAAAACCTTCAAATTATAGGTGAAATATATTTTTAAGATGTACATACGCTTAACGCAATTCGCTACTAGTCATAAGCAACGTAAGGACCCGGGATCAATTTACGTCGGTACAAGTTGCCACAACATTTCAGCATCATGAGATGAAACCATTAAGATAAATATCAGAATAGTGTCAGTGGTAGCAAAACGTATAACCCATAGACAATATGGTTTAATGAGAAATAATGAATGTGAAGGGTGAAATATATGAAACAATTTTGAAAATTAGGGAAAACAAAGAATGAGTGTGTCTGTGCTACCGCAACTGATTCCAAGTCATGCTACTCAATGTCTCTAGCCAATGATCACGGTTATCACGAATCAAAATTAAGCAACAAAACCCTTAAAATCACAGAGTATGAAGATAATATTCTATCCCTAACTACTGCAACCCATTAAGACATAAGAGATCTGTAAGTACAACATTCAATGAGCTATAAGCCTTGACTTTTATTTAAGCCAAGAAATAGAGTTGTTTTAATTTGTGTTACACATTACCATTAGATTTATAAGAAATCAATAAACTATTAAACTGCACTTTGGAAAATAACAGTGAATATAATGAAAATTGAGCACTTGTAGTTAATGTTTAAGCCTAAAATCACGCTGAATAGCTCACGTGAATGATAAGAAAGAATCTATCCTGACAAAACTTACCTCGACAACGATAACCTTGAAAGAACATTCCTGTGATTAATTTATTACAGATACAACAATAAGTAGGTTGTTTAAATGTGAACATTTCAAAGTTGTAACCTCGGTCTTTCGCTCCAGGTGGACAAAGATTAGACCTGTTGTCAATGAAACCGAAAATCAACATGAAACAAATGGAGAATGAGCGATGGGAATAATGACAAATTATATTAACATAGAAAATTTAAATAATAGGGGTAGTATAAAACAGTGGTGAGTATAGAAATGAATCCTTACAGATAATGCTATCTTAAATAATCAAACTATCGAATTCATTGTGCGAAACGGAAAATCAACTTTGAATACTAAGAGTAATATAAGTGGGCTGACTGACTTCAGAATAGTTGCAACTCACTGAATTTTGACAAAATATCAAAAGCTATAGACTATCATCAAGCAAAAACTAGTTCCTTTTTAGGAAATTCACAATTTATTTTAAATGATTACGAATAACTTTCAAGACTTATAATAAATTTAAAATATTGCTAAGTTAATAGCAACCATGGTATCAGATTTGCTTAAATAAGAATGGGCAGAAGTAAGTTATGTATAGCACATAGAAAAATCTTTTATTCTGAACAACTGGTTGATGATATCTGTTCACAACACATTTAAGATTTTTTGCCTGGAAAAAAATCCGGTATCATTCAATAGATTTCTATATAAATAAAATTATTATTTAAATATGTTATAATCCTGTTTTCTATCATACGTAAACTGAAAGTATTAAATTAACGTCTACTTAAGAAATACCTATAACAGTATTCTAGCTTTATTAAGGACATAACTAAAGCTTTGAATTAATTTTTTCGGTTGTGAGGTAGTTACACACATAGGACAATGGAGGACGGTCACGCGATTCCGTGGACTTATTGAAGTTAGACATTAAAACCGTTGAATATCGACTCAGTAACATAGGGGTTAAGCGTTTACGCGCGAGACATAAGGTCCTGTGTTCGAATTCGCGCGCGTGTAATCGTGGATGCCCAGTCCAGTGCTTCCAGGTTTCAAATGGTGGTCTAATATTGATCGATTTACGGTCTCATTCAAAACTTTTGTCTTGTTTATTTGAACCTTGCCATTGATGTTTAGGACTGCAATTGAACATCAACTCTGGGATGCAGGTAGATATTATTTATCTTTGATGATAAAGCTTAGAATGTTTATCAAATAAATCCAAGATAAACAGAATTTTACCGTAATCGAATTACTCGGAAACGATTTATTTCAGGAGTATAAAGTTGATCAAGCTCAATTTAAAAAGTACAGAATACAACAGTACTCTTCACATGAAATTTGTCACAGTTGCTAAATGTATAAACAGCAAAAATAAACCAATCCAAAAACAAATACACAGATAAGATTGACACCAACAACTTACAATGCAGCCATTACAGCTTTCATCCAAGCTGTACGTAATTCTTCGGATTTTGTAAAGAAAGTAAGATTTGGCGAATCTCTATCACCCAAAATTGGTAAAGTAAATCCATAGGAATACTATTTTAAATAAATGAATAAACAGTAGAATTTTGCTTACACCTACAATCTTGATGAGTGTAACTTAAAAAGATATAAAATATTAAAAGCACAAACTAAAACTGGCCAGTTAAAGACTTAAAATAAATACATAGTCTAATGCTAAATGGGAATATAAATGTTGAGGCAGTGAAGAAAAAAGACCTTAACGCTCGTTAGAGAGGGCGGTTGTTTGATGACAAAACAAAGAGTACAAAAAAACTGAGTACAATAAGTTTATTGGTTGAAAATGTCGCATTTTTCCATAAAAACAAAGAAAAGATTATAGCAGCAAAGATCTTTTGATAATAAGAATGTGAAGAATGGAACAGAAGAGAGAGAAAAAACTCTAAATCACCAATTTAAAACAACAGATTGGATGCAAGAACGATTTGTACTATATGCTCGAAATTCTCAGAACAAAATCGTTTTATTTCAAATATTATAATAATGAAGTTCATAATTTTCCAATTAGATTAGACTTGGAAATAGACAAATAATGGAACAGTAGTGTAAATATGATTTGATCAGTCCTGGTGGATACGGTTTCATTCCATCAGTACTGTAAACAGAATACTACAATGATGTAGGCGCTGATGTATAAAAATACATAACAAGGAAAATAGATACTTATCATATTATAAATCTGAATGTCAGATATTTAACAGAATTCTCCGCTGTTGGGACAAACTTCACATGTTGAAGCGACATTCACCTTGTGCAGGACTTCTGTGAAAGACACTGACGAAACAAGTTGGACTGATAATGATGAACGTCAGAGTTACTAGACCGCAGAAACGTAATGTACATAACTATGTCTGTTTATATATATATATATATATATATATATATATATATATATATATATACAGATAGATAGATAAATAGATAGATAGATAGATAGATAGATAGATAGATAGATAGATAGATAGATAGATAGTTGTCATTAGACTATTTAGTTTATCACATGATAGCAAATATTGATATTTTTGTTCGTTATTTAACTTAGATGCACACAAATCACATTTATTTCATGCAATAAACATGTAATAACCTGAAATTCTTGCTATCAGTTTACGGTCATTTTAACATAATATCAAAATTGTACAAATCAGTCACTAATTTTATTTGTTGTGGGGGATGGATGAAATAACCATACAGTGGCAATTAATGTAGCTCAATTATCTAACTGATATGTTAATTTTGTAACAGCGCTCCATAACATTGAAATTAGATTGTACTAAATAAAATCGAATTTGCCAAAGGATATAGTTTATTCCTATTGAAATTTTTCAGTGATAAACAGCACAATTTAATGTATTTACGAATACTTCGCTGGCTTTTTAAATTTACTAACAAAATCCAGTTAATATTTTTATAGATTAAAGTAATGTATTGTAAGATAATTCAAACTTGATGTCACTAAACATATCAACTTCAGAAAATGTAATCGAGGAAACTAGTTTAACAATAAGAATTATGGTAAGATGAAGTGATAATATCGTACCATTTAATCTGCCTATTATAGGGTGGGGGGAGATATTTATTGTCAAAAAAACCCAGTTCGAGTTAGTCTGGCCAAAATTATAATCACTAATTCTTAATAAACATAAAACCTTATGCTTTAGATAAGTAATCTATGAGAACTCTTCCGCTAAGATAATAGTAGAGATTTTCGTTTGATTAACGATGTGACGGTACAAACCTGAACCTATATTCAACAAAAAAGCTTTTAAATTGGTCAATTATAGTGAACCCAACATGCAAGTAGTTATTTTGTGACTAGTAATTTACATGTGAATAACAAAAAACAAGAACTTCAGTGTTTGGGATCTTTTTAGTGCGAAACTGTAACAAGACGAGGATAAGTATGAATCTGACGCTTTTTTCCACATAAATGTGGACACAGAACTATGGTATGAGGAATATTCCCATCATTCTAACAACATTTGTATGGTTTTGTATTTTCTCGTTGTTATTATTGTTAGGGATTTCACACTGACCTGATTTTCTCCGTATAACCTTGTAGTTATTATATTTGGATTGCAAATATCAAACACCAGGATGAGGGTACACTCTGCTAACTAGTCCCAAATAGGACGAAATGCGTTTCCTGGATTCTACTACTAGCCACTATCATCCACTGTAATTAGTTTATACACAAATTTGATAGCAGAAACAAAAGCTTAGAGCATTAAGTCAAAACACATCGAAAAAAAATAGTTTCATAATAGAGACGACAAACTCAAGATGGTACGATCAGCTAGCAGTAATGCAAAAATAAGTCGTTTTCAGTTGTGTCAATATTCCATGATAATTTCAAGTCTTTATTCTACAATAAGTCCTGAACATCCAAATAAGTGTTACTATTCACATACATTATTATTGTGACTAGTTTTAACACAAATCTAAACCACTTCAGTGATTTCTAAAATATGCATGGTTACTTGAGTTATATGTGTAAGCAGATATCCACGAGGGATAACCATATTGCTACATAAAACTGAAAAAAATCGACCACTGCAATTGAACTCAGTACTGAGGTTGACTATGAAATGAGTGTAACCTTTGGAAAAGCAACGAATTGACAGAGATTGTGTGATGATAACAAGTCGAAACTGCTTGCAATAAAATAATCTGATTTTTGGAAAGTCCATATGAGAAGCTGCCAAAAATATCCTACATATGAAATATGTGTAAACAAATACAGTCATCATATACATTTAGACTAGAATTACATGTACGATCATCATCATGATCATCACAATCCCTTAATATCTGAAATATAATCAAATTCTGTGATCATTTTACGCACGTTAAAGATAGAAGGAAATTATTTATTTATTTATTTTAACACATAGATATTGGTACAAGGAGGCACCAAATACATCTGCGCCACACAGATCTCATTCGATATGTGTGAGGGCTGTGATACTGCCCGGGTGCCCAAACCAAACCAGGTGGTTTTCTTAGGGGGCCACTCCCCAAGCCTTCGACCTGAAGGTCTGATCCACAAGGCAGTGGAGCATCGTAAGGAGATGCAGTCCCATGGAAGCCGGTGACCAACAATTGGTTCAGACGCCATTTGTCCCCGCAGGATACTGGAGCCCATGTGCACCATTGGTTTGGAATCCGGTTAAAGCGCCGGACATCCGCTTTTCGTCCCCTCATTTTCGTAAACAACACCCCAGCCACGAGAAGGCAGTGAGTAGGACTTCCCTGGTAGAGGCTATATACGCGTGGCCATGTGAGAGCGTTTCGAGAGGGAGAGCGGACTCTCCCCACTCTCGGCCGTACCAGGGCATTTGGGGGCCTTATATAATCTTGTTTTCGTTTCACAGAGTGGTTTTCTTACAGATGATATGAAAAATAGAAACAGCCTTTAAAAAATACGAACTCCGCCTGTAGCTCTAACAGGGTTACTGCCGGTCCCAAGCCCGGATAAAGGAGGAGGGTTGGGCATGGGGTTAGCGTCCCCATCCCGTAGAAAACTAACTCGCTAAAAAAACGCTTACCAGAAAAAATAATCAAACCATTTAAACTCTGCCCTGGGAGTTAGAAGGTCTTCAGTTAGAAGAATTATGACGCTTCATGGTGAAAGCCGAGTTCCTTCGGAAGCCACGAGGCCGATGCCCCTTCTAACAACCAGAGCAAAAATTTTTATAGGTACATGGAACGTTCGAACAATGTGGGAAACCGGGAAGACCAGTCAAATAGCAATGGAAATGAGGAGATACAACTTAGCAGTACTGGGAATCAGCGAAACCCACTGGACCCAAGCTGGACAGAAAAGGCTAGCTACGGGAGAGATGCTGCTATACTCCGGTCACGAGAGGACAATGCTCCACACACTCAGGGAGTCGCTCTTATGCTGTCCAAAGTAGCACGAAATGCACTTGTAGGATGGGAGTCTCACGGATCCAGAATCATCAAAGCATCATTCAAAACAAAGAAGGAGGGGATCTTAATGAATATTATCCAATGTTATGCACCCACCAATGATAGCAACGACGACATTAAAGATCAGTTCTACGAGCGGCTGCAGTCAATCATTGAGAAATCCAAGAAAGGACCTAACTATTCTGATGGGAGATCTAAATGCCAAAGTCGGAATAGACAACACTGGATATGAGATATTATGGGACGACATGGACTGGGAGAAAGAAACGAAAATGGAGAAAGATTTGCAATTTGTGTGCATTCAACAAATTAGTCATAGGAGGCACAATATTTCCACACAAGCGTATACACAAGGCTACATGGATCTCACCGGACCACACTACAGAGAACCAAATAGATCATATTTGCATCAACAAAAAATTCCGAAGGACAATGGAAGATGTGAGAACCAGGAGAGGTGCTGACGTAGCTTCAGATCACCACCTAGTTGTAGCCAATTTAAAACTGAAGCTAAAAAGAACTGGACAAGTGGACAAACAGCACTACAAAGGTTCAATACAGCCTTCCTTCGAGATACTGACAAACTCAATGAATTCAAGATAGCTCTCAACAACAGGTTCCAAGCCTTACAAGATCTACTGAAGAAGAAGAAACTACTATGGAGGACAACTGGAAAGGCATCAAGGAAGCATTAACTTCAACGTGTCAAGAGGTTCTGGGCCTAAAGAAACACCATCATAAGGAATGGATCTCTATAGAAACACTGGACAAGATCAAAGAAAGGAAGAACAAGAAGGCAGCAATTAACAACAGCCGAACACGAGCAGAGAAAGTCCAAGCACAAGCTGAATACATAGAAGCAAACAAACAAGTGAAGAGGAGCATTAGAGCCGACAAGAAGAAATACGTGGAAGAACTAGCAACGACGGCAGAAAAAGCTGCTAGAGAAGGAAATATGAAACAGCTTCACGATACAACGAAGAAACTAGCAGGGAAATACAGTAAACCAGAGAGGCCGGTCAAAGACAAAGAAGGCAAGCCAATCACCGAAATTCAACAACAGCGTAACAGATGGGTGAATACTTCGAGGAACTCCTGAATAGGCCGGCTCCAATGAATCCACCGGACATCGAAGCAGCACACATAGATCTTCCTATAGATGTCAACCCACCAACGACGGAAGAAATTAGAATGGCCGTCAGACAAATCAAGAACGGGAAAGCAGCAGGACCCGACAACATACCAGCTGAAGCACTGAAATCAGACATCGAAGCAACCACAAGCATGCTATACCTTCTATTCAAAAAGATTTGGGAGGAGGAACAAGTGCCATGGACTGGAAAGAAGGACACCTCGTCAAGATTCCAAAGAAAGGAGATCTGAGCAAATGTGAAAACTACAGAGGCATTACACTACTGTCAATACCAGGGAAAGTCTTCAACAGAGTGTTGCTGAACCGGATGAAGGATGCAGTAGACGCCCAACTTCGAGATCAACAAGCTGGATTCCGTAAGGATCGGTCGTGCACAGACCAAATTGCAACACTACGGATCATCGTCGAACAATCAGTTGAGTGGAACTCATCACTATACATCAACTTCATTGATTATGAAAAGGCATTCGACAGTGTAGATAGGAGGACATTATGGAAACTTCTTCGACACTACGGAGTTCCTGAGAAGATTGTCAACATTATCCGGAACTCATACGACGGACTACAGTGCAAAGTAGTGCATGGAGGACAGCTGACAGATGCATTCCAAGTAAGGACTGGAGTCAGACAAGGCTGTTTACTCTCTCCCTTCCTCTTTCTTCTGGTGGTCGACTGGATTATGAAGACCTCACATCTGAAGGAAAACACGGAATACAATGGACAGCTCAGAATCAATTAGACGATTTGGACTTCGCAGACGACCTAGCCCTCCTATCACGTACACACGAACAGATGCAGATGAAGACAGCCAGTGTAGCAGCAGTCTCTGCATCAGTAGGCCTCAGCATACACAAAGGGAAAACCAAGGTCCTCAAATTCAAGCGGAGAACAGCAATCCAATCACTCTTGATGGCGAAACTCTGGAAGATGTAGAGTCCTTCACATACCTGGAAGCATCATCGATGAACAAGGAGGTTCAGATGCAGACGTAAAGGCGAGGATCGGCAAAGCAAGGGTCGCATTCCTACAATTGAAGAACATATGGAACTCAAAACAACTTTCAACCAATATCAAAGTGAGAATCTTCAATACGAACGTCAAGGCAGTTCTACTGTATGGAGCTGAAACTTGGAGAACTACAACAACCACAATCAAGAAAGTACAAGTATTTATAAATAGCTGTCTACGCAAGATACTCAACATCCATTGGCCGGATACCATCAGCAATAGCCTTCTGTGGGAGAGAACAAACCAACTTCCAGCTGAAGAAGAAATTAGGAAAAGACGATGGAAATGGATAGGACATACATTACGCAAATCGTCAAACTGCATCACGAGGCAAGCCCTAACTTGGAATCCTGAAGGGAAGCGAAAAAGAGGAAGGCCAAAGAACACATTGCGTCGGATAATAGAAGCAGATATGAAAAGGATGAATTACAACTGGACGGAGCTGAAAGGATTGCCCAGGACAGGGTTGGATGGAGAATGCTGGTGAGTGGCCTATGCTCCTTCACGAGGAGTAACAGGCGTAAGTAAGTAAGTAAGTAAGTTTAAAAAATACGAAGTATGAAATCATTACCGTTTCGAAGGTAACGCTCAGGTGTCTAATACAAGAAAAGGATGAACAACGTCGAAGCTTGTGGTTGACTTGTAAGCGACGACTGTGGGGTTATGGATATTAATCCACCAAGTATACGCGATCATTATTCTAACACCCTACATGCAACATTTCCAATTTTTAGATCGAAGTCAAACAGTTGGAGTTCCATCACTTAACTTAGTGGTAAACAGTAATATTCTATTTTAAGCAGATCGAGTCAACGGGATTAGATTAACTAAATCGGCCACTCATCATTTATTGTTAAATCACAACGAGAAACAAACTTCTAACGGATTATTACGAAACCCTGCTAGTAAGACGAGTGAAATGACCTTGGATTATATCACTAACTAGATGTAAGCGAAAATTATCAGCCATTAGATTTAAATTTAAAGAAATAATACTGAAAAGTGCTTAATATGAAAGATAAAGTGGTAATGATTTTAAATAAGAAGACATTGGGGATGAGTGAAAGGCTCCAAATATGTCGGAAAACAACTCTGCAGTCCATCTTCATTACTTATTATTCGTATTATTTTTGTTCTATGTCGTTGATGGATCGCGAAAATTACCTCTGAAGTAATCAATTTCAAGGAAAAAGTAACTAGAGGCATATAAGTCTTTGAGGATCATATTTATGTTTTAATACAATTTTTTGTGACACGCGATCATAATCAGTGAATCACAGCAGTAACGTAGCGATAAAAGAACACCAAAAAATTGTTAACCATATTTTTGGTTATTTTCTTTTATTAACCAAAGTATTACACAATTGACAAAAACTAACACATCAATCAATCATGATATTGAAGTAAATAACTGTTTTAGATTTTAATACTTAATTAAATTAAACTTACTCCCTTTTTATTTGATAAAGTAACTCGTTGGAATTGGCCATTTACAACATGATAAGCGAACATAAATGTAAAACTATCACCCTATATAAAAAAAGAATAACGAATAAAAGACAAAACAGTACAAGCAATATGGAAAATATCTTTAATAATCAGTGAAAGTGACAATTATTCACATTTTGGTTAACAATATATGACAAAAGTATTACAAATGTACCTAGGGGAATTAACGAATATTTATTCACAGATTGAAATCATGAGTCAGTTGAAGCTAGACCACCATGGAAAACCTGGAAGCACTGGACGGCCGTCTCGTCCTAGTATGGGACTCCTCAGCAGTGCGCATCCACGATCCCGCACCCCGCGGGATTCGAACCCGGGACCTACTGGCTTCGCGCGAGAGCACTTAACCATTAGACCACTGAGCCGGCATCCAACGGATGCGAACTGCTGAGGAGTCCCATACTAGGACGAAACGGCCGTCCAGTGCTTCCAGGTTTTCCATGGTGGTCTAGCTTCAACTGACTCATGATTTCAATCTGTCAAAACTTCTAAAATCTCCACAAACCCCTTCTGAGAATATTTATTCATTGATGTTAGCGAAAATTAAGACTTCGCGATTAACGGCAAACTTTGTAGTCAGAAACCACATGCATAGAACACATTAAAAGAACCTAAACAGGGATGAACGCTATTTACAGAGTTAATAATAGGCTGTATATACAAAATTGGTTTGGAGATTTGTTAGCTGTCATCAATTCCTGATCACAATGTACAGTATGTTGTTTATACATAAGAATGAAGTGGAAAGCGAACATGGTATTGAGAGAAGATAATACAGCAATGAACCATCAAATCGCTAAATTCTAATCAGGTTGGATACAAGAAAGAAAGAAATATTTAATGTTCCGCAAGTATGGTTTGAATCTTCGTGGTTATCCAGACCAATATTTGGAAACATGTAACATATAATATGTCTCCGAAGTGGAGTCCGCCTCAATTCACTGTTTGTCTGTAAAAAAATTTACATTACTTATGTTGTGGTGAATCAATTGTAATTGACTAAAGGAGAACAGTATTACATAAAGAGGCATTAAATATTTAAAATTAACATTCTTTTTGCAATTACATAGTGGATATCTCAAGTGTACACGTGAACAAAGAATAACCTTTCAACATTTTTTTACTTTTGCCTGAATAGAATTACTTTTTTGATTGACGATTAACGGTTTCCCCTTTCAGATGTTAGAATAGAATAGCATTTATTCACATTTCTTTTCTATACACACACTCATGTAGACAAACACCAGTAATGTCAATGAAATAATGTTAAATCACATGATTGATATATTTCTATGATACATGCAAGAAGCCATTAGCTAAGCATATATATTAGACCTTTCTTTTTAAGATAACCTCACTAGATATATTATCGTGGCTGATCGTAGTCAATAAATTTTTTACACTATCCTAAAAAAGCACTTGGCCAGTAACACTTGATTTTAAATCGTCATAATGAAAAAGATGGATATTCATTTGTGATTTACCTTAACTATTAACTAACGTATTATACGGTTAAGTACATGGAGGTAACCCATAAAATGTCTGATAATTTATAGATGAGATTCAGATGAGTTATTCTCTAATGCAATACCAATATCATACGCTAAACGCAGTATTTTCCGTTTTAATCACATGATCTCTGTGTTTTGATACCACTTGATCCTATGTTAGCCAAATAAAGATATATGTTTGACTTATATGCAATAGAGTGTACGAAATGAAACAGGTTGTTCATTTAGTTTAACAATTATAAGGTTAGCGATGATTATCAGGATGATAGTATCATAGCAAATAGATATACAACTGGATTTTTGAAGCTGATTTCCAACTTTAAATGACTACTGTTGATAAATATTATTAACGTAGAATATTATTTATGTAGTGAACGAACACTCAGGTAGGGAAGACCAATTTATTGTTTAATAAAAAATTACAGAAGGTCTTCGTAAAATACGAAAACCATACATTAAATACTGCATTTGCACATCTTCCATTATTTGTCTCTTACAAAATTCATCATTCCTTCATTCCCGTTGTTTTTACAATAACTCTCTGTTTACATTCCTGTTCTCTTCAATTCGATATTCTCAACCTTCTGCTGACAGGTATTCCAATTCTGATCGGTGTAACAGACTACTTATGTTGACAGATATAAGTAGCATACATCACAATTATGGTCAGAGTGCATTAAAACAGTAGCAAATTAGTTAACTTTCTCAATATCTAACAATTATAAGCTTTGTTGAATTTTGAGCAAGATGAACAGGTAAACACAAATGAAGGATTTACATAATGGTTAGATATGAATAAACAAACCAATATTTATTTACATGGTAAATGGTGTGCAAGCAATAATTAAAACTTTATGTAGGCCAGATTTAACTACAGAAAGACGTGAATGTGATGAAACTTTTTACGGAATATACGAGGAACGGTGGTTTGATTTTGTTTTGAAAATGTAATACTTTTTATAAGGCTTACTGACATGAACTGAAATTATTCCATTTATTAAAACTGGCTTTTGCGATGAATATACTGGTGGAATTGAAACAAACTTTGGAACACTAAAATTTTTCTTAGAACAATATACGGCTAACTGATAATAATAATAATAATAATAATAATAATAATAATAATAATAATAATGATAATAATAATAATAATTTGTATATATATGCAGATAGGTTAGAATGAGGTAATAACAAACAAGCGAATTGCTTATTTCACCTTGGACAGCACTAGTAGTGGCCAAGTCGTATTTTCATGATGGGTCTATATGGATAAGACTGTTATCATAAATGATGAAATATATATAGACAAGTACTTATTTCATTAAATCTTCTCGAGGAGTGAGTACTCGTCAGTCTAACTAAATGAAATTACACTATGAATTTTCATTTATCAACCCATACTAATGGCAAGATGAAACGAGAAATCTCACGATACCAGCGTGTATATGACTAACCCTTACAGATATATATATATATATATATATATATATATATATATATATATATATTAAAACGATATAAAAAGATTCATATACTTAACACTAGATGACCTAATAAAAATGATTACTTATTAAGATTTCAATCACTTTACCGGCGCTTCTCGATACAATGTAAGGAAAAAATACAATTATCACGCAATACAACGTTATAATAATGTATCTAACCAACTTCTAACGTTAATGGATAAACATCGAAGAGCGACCAGAACATCGTGAGACGTACGAATAATAACGATAATCGTATTATACTATGCACTGACTTAAACTTGGCAATGAAAACTACTAGATCCTAACTAAATGCCCACTATAATACCTCGATGACCTGGGTTCAATTCCAAAAGAGTCAATAAATGAGGACACCTTAATAGTCCCATACTACGACGAATCAGCTGACCGATGTTGCCTAGTTTCCGATGCTACTCTTAAATGATATCAATTTGAGACGAATAATATCTAAAAAGCAAATTAATCTCCGCAATAACTATCATGAAAGATTTCGTAAAAATTGATTCATGTCACTAGCACTTCAACATTTTTTTTAAAAACTATTCTATTTGCTCTACAGTAAGTAGTAGAAACAGAAACAATTGGTGAAACACATACAGAAATTTTCCAGGGAGGAAAATGGTCTTTTCCTATCCATAAAATCACACACTACTGATAGCCAGTTGTACAAATGTAATAAAAATAATAATAGTGTGAGTGTACAACTATTTACAATAATTTCTTACCTTCGGTTTGCATACAATCAATATTTTATCGAATAAAAATAAATATCTGCAAATTAGACAAAGAAAATAAACAGGAAATACAAATCTAGTGAGAAAAGTCAATAAAAACATTTTAGAAACACATATATACACATTTCACTAATTCATAATTCAATGTTTTGAGCTACAATTAAGTTACTGGTATCGAATACAGATTTACGTAGCCAAAATTTAGTCACAAAGTTTTATATAAACTCAAACGATGCTACTCAGTTGCCCAAAAAGAAAACAGAGAAGAGGATGCTGATCTGCACAACCCAGTGAATGAAATTTACAATACCACATAAAAATTGAATAGGCCAAAGTATAGTAAAGTAGCCAATAACATCCTCCTTTTGATAATAACAGAAGTGCGAAGTCATAAAACTAAATCCTGACAAAATCATTCATCTATTGAACACCGTTATCAAAAAAGTGCAACATTTCCCAATGTAGTTAAATGATGAGATTATACTTATTAATTGTTTCAATTAAACCATTAATTGACATTTCAAAGAAGGGAGCGGTTGGGGAATAGATATTAGTTACAGAACTTCTTAATATGTTAAATAAAGGAATTTAAAATTAAGATGCAAATATTAGTACTGGTTATAATAATTTATTTCATTTTGAACAATATGTTACTTCCAACCTTTAATAGGAATAAAATCATGTGTAAAAACTTGTTAAAATTAACATTTTACTGGTAATCTGTGAATGTTTTTGGGATTATAAAATCTATCAACTTCGGGTAATCAATCTTATTTCATCATTATTTGCTGAAATTCATAACTTAAGAGAATTGAATAATAAATGAAAATAATTTCGAGAAAATGGTTAGAAAACACTTGTTACAGGTTATGTAGGAAATGAGTATTGACTGAGTACAAAAAAACATGCACTCGAATATAGTTTTTCTAAAGTAAACATTCAAGATCATAGTAAACAGACTATTTGAAAGTCTTTTTCTGATAGACTGATTTCTGTATATAGACGATCGAAACTCGACTAAATCTTTAGATTTGATAAAATCTAAAACTGAACTTTTTTACCCTTTCTAATCTACTGTGAGCTTAAATCGTACACCTAACTACGGTGTAGACGAAATGCACAACGATTTACCTCAGAAATTTTACCGTTTCAATGACTATCCTCTTAAAAAGATTTCGTTTTGGCCAACTTAGTCAAATTACCAATCAACCCGTTGTCATCCCTAGCCAGTTTTGTTAAAGTTGGGTTTTGTCGAGATAAATGTATGCAAGCAATGTGAATAGATGAGATAATATAATGACTGGGAACAATACATTGTGATTGTGTTATGATTGGGCGAATAGATGGAAATAACAAACTATGGAAGCTGTTCTGCGGTGAACTACCATAAATATTTTAATGTGTAATCATAAAATAATTGATGAATGGTATTTTTACACTAATCTAACTGTAACCTTTTATTTAACTTATTAACTATTGCTAGATTTTTTTCCGGTCATTAATTTCAGTAAATAATTCATTAACCTGTGTCAAGTCCCAAACTTGGAATATATTTATTGTTTATAGTGCAATATGGCCTCCAAATTTATGTGTAATTAAATGAGTCTTGAGTTCCAGTGTTAATTCAAATATATTACTTAATTTCGTCTTCTTGAACCATATTCTTAATGTTTATTACTATCATTACTATTAAAATTACTACGACTTGTTTGCTATCCTGTTTGATAATTTCATTTTGTTGAGCTGATGTAGTAGGGCCAGTTGGGTCAACGCACATTTGTGGAAGGCTTCAAATTTATTATAACTTACTGACTTATAACAAGCCATAATTACTAATCGTTTAAACCGAGAAAATAATAACAGTACTAACAATTCCAAAACCGTTAAGTCATAATGTAAATCATTTCCAAGAGCTTGTGGATGTTAGGGATTTCAACTTGTTAGTCATTATTGGCATATTTGCACCCTGAATGGGTTGCCTCGAAATCTCCATTTAATTACAAAATTTCATTAAAGTTGGATAGAGACTAGCAGTGAAATTCACGATGCATCTTTCATACTACTTGTAAGTCGATTTGAAAAGTAGATTTATGGGTACGATATTATTATTAATGTTTTCAAAAAAAATTTAATATACAAAATAACGTAAAATAATCAATACATTTAAGGTATAAAATCGAAATTCATTGCATAACTGACTCTAGTACAATGTTATATTACCTAGTTTTCGCTTTGCTTTCTGATTCAGAAAGAACTTTCACTTCTCCATCCATATGCAAGTGCCCATAACTTGATAACCTTTTATCTGGAGGCTGAAAAATTGACAAATGATACAATATAACTGGAAATAAAAAGTGATGGTGCACGTAATTCAAATTTACTTACTCAGTCAAAAACAAGTTAATGGGAAGAAGTAATTATTTGCCGAAAATTATTGATATTGTAATTTTTGCGCTTATATATATAGGGAGAGAGATGCGATCGAATGAGAACTTGGATTATTAATTAAACTATTAGCATTACACCTGAAAACCACGTTTACATGACCTACAAAGTACAAGTATAATACCGATATATTTGAATATCTTTCTGGTATTTGACTATAACTAGAACGATTACGCTAAATTATGTAATAATGATGAACAGAAACATGTTATTATTACTTTTGTAGCCGAAAATGTGACGTAACAGAAATCTGCATTTCCGAAACATAAACACAGTAGTTCAACTGCATGAAGCTGATTATGAATACGCGTATCTAATGCTAATCCACTAAAACGTCCTCGCGTTTAAATTGGCGCAATACTGAAATTGGATTAGAGACTAAACTAAGAGTATTGAAAGAAAAATAGACTAAGTTGTAACACCAAATCAGCAGGGCGAGATTAAATTGTTAAGATGAATACCAGATCAATAATAACAATATAAGTGGTAGTAGAAAAGATTAAAGGCAGACAATGTGATTAGAGAAGAAAAGTTAAATTCGTGGAATATAAAGTACAAGACAATTTTCAGATCCAAGATGAAATAAAAAATAAAGAATGAATGTATCTGCGCTATTGTGACCGATTCTGAGTCATTTTATTGAACGTCTTCAACCAGTGATCAAGATAATCACGAGAATCCCAACCAGATAAATATCCACAACTTCATAAGAACTACTAGGACTTATTTGTAATAAATATTTAAGAACTGAGAGTTAGATATTAAAAATTTCGATGATTAGTATAATTTCAAGTAATGATTTTGTTCAGAATATCGTAAACTGATTAATGCTGGAAATGCACATTATCACCAACCTAGTAGTCAACAGTTTAACGCACTTGTAATGAAAACTGTTAATCATGCTATGTTTGCTTTCTGGAGACGTTACAGATATTTATTGTTATAGAATCCTATACTAGGATAAAACAACTAGGTGTACTACATGGTTTTTAATGGGCCACCAAGTGATATCAGCTCATGATGAAAATCATCCACATATTAAACAAGTCACTGTGTGTAAATATATTTTTGAAAGCATTCATTTAATACGAATCAATCCAATATTGCCTAAACTCTTTTTGGATTTACTTTATCCATGATATCTCTCACAAACAGAAACTATTCACTTATAACTTTAATGAATATTTTCTCGATATAATATCCAATATAATATTCAAACAATAAAAGATTTTACGAGTCACACGATGTGAACAAGCTATAATAAGTAAATGGATCAGTTACTTAATCAAGGTCACTTCCTTTCACCTGCCTATTTACTGTTTGAATTCTTACGACCATCTATAATCAGACATTAAGAAATTTATCTTCGCATACAATTCGGTTCTCTTTTGCATACATTCAATATGATAAAGAATTAAAAGAATTCATTGCTAAGAATTGAATTTAATTGCATATCCCTTTCCTAAATTCTAAAACTAATCATGAAAACTAGTGATTAATCAATCTTAATATTGTGAGAAAAAGTGAATAAAATTTTCATTTCCCTAATAAATTACGCAAAATTTATCAGGAAATAACAGAGAAGAATAAAAATTAATTTCATGAAATAGTTTATTTTTAGAAAAAAAATTTGTGATTATTTGAAATGGAACATTATACAAAGAAAACCAATAGTATTCATGAAAAGAATAAGATGATATTTATTTCAACACTAGACAATCGTAATTCATTTGTATCACGGTTGATTTCCCTTATTATTGGTTTTTACTATGGAAAGATAAACTGAAACTGACTATATCCATCAGTTGAAACTGTTATTGTTAAATTAGATAGCATTGCAAAATTAGCAGTCACAGTTGTTTATTCATAATGATTATGTTATGATTCTCTCTTATTACAATCCAGCTATTCCTATTGCTTAGTATTCTCGGACACTAATTCACTCTACAAGTCCCCAAATCAGAACACGGTTGACAAGAAAGAGATTATTCCAAATAACAAGGTTAGATGGAAGTAAGGAGCACAATAGGAAAATCGTTAGTATATTTATAGTTTTTGCATGAGAAGATTCTAGAGTATCCTCCAAGTATCGACTAGCGCTAATTGAATAAGAACTAGCTAATCAGCGCGCGCCAACGCAATCGTGCATTGAGCACGCTTTAATCCAATCTATGTCCCGCTAACAGATTATATGAATGAAATTTCTTTTGGATGCACCATTTAGTGTATTCTTCTTTTTAAGAAACATTAAAATAGCCTTCAATCTCTGATCATTATTTAATAAAGTAGAGTGCACAACAAGTAACTTACTACTATATAGAAATAATTAACAGATTGACTAAATTCGTTGTTGTCTATCTATTATTTAGTGAAACTAGGCGCTAGTCTGTTTTTTCTAATGAATACGTTTCAATCCATAATTCTAAGTAAGTCACATGATGTTTTTATAATACAGGATCATCTTTATTTCTATTTCACTGTCATTATTTTAAGCATAGATATAGACTGAATTTTCGAAGTTTGATCACACCAAATCACTTTTCAAGATCAAACGACCAATAAAGTAAATAACAAAAAAGTTGGAAAATTTACTATTATGACAATTAACACTTAGTAAATGATCATTTTATTAATCGGATGTCGTACGCAAATACATCATTTGATAAAAATTCAATCAAATATAATTAAAAGTCATGAAAATATCACACTGCTACTACTCACCAGCATTATTTCAAGTAAACTGTCAAGATAACGAAAGAAAGAAACAAAAAATATGGAGCAGGTAAAAAATCAGCACATAAAATAGAGAAAAATGACTAATTTATATAATAAATGAATTGTTTTAAATTGTCAAAGCCACCTTAGGTATCATTGAAATATCGAATTTAGTTTGATGTATGAACAAAAGAATAAATGACAAATGGAATTTTCCATATGATAATGGCTATTTGGAAGTAAGCCAACAATAGACATATACGTGATATCATGAAAACAAACTTTAAAGAAATGAGCGATGAGAATTTATTCACACACATGTCTAATTAACTTAAAGAGATGATAATTGGTGTGAGAGTAGATTGAAAGAAAGCTATGGGGCGGTCAAACCAAGGCATGGAATCAGTTAATGAAGATGCGAACCGTTGGACTGAGTCATGCAGACTACCTGGTTAGGGTATGAGTGATTATCGTGATCAATGGTTAGAGACTTCCGGTGACTTAGCTCAATTACAATCACCCTTCGTCCTCCCTTAGATTTTAAGCCTCTAAATTATCTCATAAATTTTTTATTCCTTTAGTCCATATATTCTAGAACCATTTGTTCGCCGCCTAATCTATTCTACTACCAATAAAACTGTTACTACATCTGATCGTTATCGAAGCGAAATTTAACAAATGCTGTAAAGTACTCACGAATTTGCAAAACGAATATACACTGTAGTATTCTAACCTATCATCATTACAGTTTAAAGATTCAATATGATGTATAGTGATTATATATGCGCTCACACAAAACATATCCATAACTGAAATTCAAATGACTAATTAAAAACCGATTGTTTTAGGCTTGGATTATTTATCCAGTAAATTGCAGTGATTTAAGTGATCGACCCTGGATTAAACCAATGGTATAATTCTCTATGAAAAAAATATATTTATATTTTAATATCATAGATTATGATTCTTGAATTATTACAATTAAAAGTTAATTTAAACTCGCATTTGACGTTTTTGTATGATTAGAACCTATTGAATCGGTAGAATTATTCCATATAACCCTAAGTATCAATCGAACACATTTACAATTATAAGGTCAAAACAACTATGTCAACCAGGCAACATATATAGATAATAATTTATTATTTAACAATCACAAGTAACCAATAACTCATCAAGAAAGGTGAAGTTTAATTAACAATTTAAAATGGATTGAATGGTTATAATCTATAGATTAAGTGAAAAAACAAACCTGGATTGAATTTGATCAATCGAGCTAATCGTGTCAAGATCTCGTTTAACATCGTTGATAGATAATGCAACTTCACGCATAGCTTCGTGAGCTACAGTTAGATCAGGACGATCATAGTGATCAGCTGGAGTGAGCTTACATAGATGCTGAAATTTAAGAAAAGTACTTAGTTTATTCATTGGAACTGGTATAGTTTATTGATCTGAAAGTGCTTTATGACCAATAACAGTGAACTCAATAAAATGTATTCAAATGATTCAGTAGTTGAATGTACTTTCTAGAAGACATCAACGTTTACCGAAGAAAAACTGAAAACAACTGAGACATTGTTTGAGTTTTCACTATAACGTAGGGACAATGTACGAAATGAGACATACTCACGTTTTTTATAGTAACATTTATGAATCCCATACACTTAAGCACAATTTTGATCATTATTATTATTATTATTATTATTATTATTATTATTAGTAGTAGTAGTAGTAGTAGTAGTAGTAGTAGTAGCAGTAGTAGTAGTAGTATTGACAAAATTGTAAGTCATACAGAAAAAATTCAAAGCTATCAAAAAATCCAGATATTTAATAATTAGATTCCAGGTAAACAATGCAAAGCAAATTACTAGTGAGTTGATAACAATAATCTAGTTGAAGGAGTTTTGGGAGATTGTTTTAACTTGTAGGCTGGATTCGCCATAGATTACTCTCAGTCGGAACATCAAAGAAAATCAAGGGGCATTGAACAACTGCTTTGTTCTAGTACAGAGCTCGGAATCACTCATCCACTAGGCTCTTCATATTGTGAATTGGCGCAAGATTTAAAATTTCTAAGTTCGACCTTTAGTGGAGTCGTGAATGTGCAGTGATGAGGTCAATATTCATGATGAATACAATCCACAAATTGAGCCGATCTCCTCAAAACCACCTAAACTAAACTACTATAATAGTCAGTTAATCAGTGACTTCAAGATGTTCCTAAAGTTAGTAACTGTTGGAATTCAGACAAATCGTGAGTGCAACAATTAATTGTAAATAACTAAGGTAATACCCTAAATCCGAAGACGATTTGGTACGAGACAATATAATTAAACTGAATATCATCAGGTGTTAACAGAATACAAACAGAAATTTGATTATAGTCGATCTACTCGTCATATGTTTTACATATTCAATCCAAGGTTAACTAATTTGATCACTAACCTGAACACAAATATTTCATGATATGATAAAAAGTTCCACCTTTCGAAGTCAGTCTAATACTCGGACAATATCACATGATTCAACTGAATTACAAGATACATATTATTGTACTTGGCATCAAATCATACTCTACATGTGAGGAGTAGTAGTAACAATCGACTTCCCAAACCGAAGTAGGCGGGCTGGACTCGAACCAGCAACCTAGTAGTTGAAGGTCGAACGCCTTAACCACTGAACCACTGCTCGGGTATCAAAAACCATATAAAATTATTCTAATGATTTAACCAGTGAAAAAAATACTGAAAACGTCAAGATATATGAGGAGTTATATTTGTACAGATTTACCTTGAGGAGTTTAGAAAAATTAAGAATGAAACATATTGCCCAGAAAACGCACTTATTCGCTTCTTTTTACCTAAATTTCAAACGGTATTTATTAGTATCAGGAATCTGACGCTTGATATTTCAATTAGTTGTGGGAAATTAAATCAGAAGAAAACAAATCTGTAGAAGCAATAAAATAAAATGTTATGCAATACTAAAAACATAATAACTTATCAAACACACACAAGCTCACCTCTAACAGAAGATGATATTTCAAAACGCGTTGGATTGGTATTGTAAGTAATTCAGCCAAAGCGAATTTATTGTATTTCTCTGAATTTGACTGACATAACTATGAATGATTTGTTTAAAAAATGGAAAATGAGTGGACCATTAAAACAAACCAAAATTAGAGAGATTGTATAAATATATCTTAGATACTTTTGTCCTATATTCCCGGAACATTGAAAAAAAACAATGATTATCTTTGTTTCATAACGAGAATGTCAAATTTAATCTTTACTTATTTCAGTAATTACATGAGTTTTAACCTAGTCTCCAAAATTGAGATGTCAGCTAAAAACGATAAAATACTCAGTATTTGGGTGATTTTAAGTGAGGAATATTAATCAACCAATTCAACATTCTCCTGAAAATAACCGTCACTAGTTTTTTAATGATGTCATGAATCGCAAGTAGATTTATAAAGGTGTAGGGTTAAACACTTAAATTTTGTTTTGGTATTTCAAGGCATTCCTCGAATATAAAGGGAATAACTTACGATACGGGGATCCACAATGGCGAAAACAGTACTGTAATTCACCATCAAATGACATATAAAACCATTAACTTAAAACTAATTTTCGCACTTGCTGAATTATCGAATTGTTGCATTCAAGTCCCAAAGCAAATACTTACGAAACAACTGGTTAATTTTAAGGCAGATATCCGTCCACGGAAGGAAATCTACGAGTTGCAAAAATGATCAGAGTGAAAACAGTCATTGATATAGAGTAATTTGTTTTATTAAAATCGATGTTCCAAGCCGTTATAACTTTTTGCTTCCGTAGTGCAAGCTACTCTTTTGATTACAACAGTAACAAATAAGGGACAGATTTCTAAATGATTATCTTTTTTAGCAACGGGATGAAAAGGAAGGTTGACTTCGAAGGTTATAGATAATGCGAGAACTAGTTTCAAGACTTGATGGAACAATATATCGATACATTTGGATATTGTGAAAGGTAACGTTTGGGTCCATATTGAAGTGAATGAAACATCAACCAATCCCAAATGCCAAACATAGAAAGTTCTAAACTAAGTAACCGAATCATTGCTTTAAAGTATTTCTATGTAAGTGACTTATGACATGGAATCCCAACATATGTTGGAAAGTCGTTATTATTATTTAGAAAGAGATTATGATAACATCATGTAGTGGAAAAGAGACTGGTAAGTTTTTTGTCAGATTTGGATAGCTACATAGAGAATCTGATTATGTGGATTTTGTGGTGAGATTAAATTGCAATATTTGTTACCTTCGGATAAGCTTAGTCGGGGTAGCAAATCTTTACATTGTTTGAATCACGTATCAAAGATAAGAATGTTATCAGAGTGATAATAAAACCTATACAAAGTAAGTCGTACGACTTAACCATAAAAAACTAGTCGATTGTGATGGATATTGAATCCCAATCATAAGTAAATAGGTTTTGGACCGTGACTACACTAAGAAAATTCATGACCCTGAATCCACATAGACTTTACAGTTTAATCAATAAAAGATGAGCTACCTGAGTTTGCTTGCTCAATGTGCATCTACAAATTCAGCCGCTCCTGTGGAGATAGCTATATCGGGAGTACTACCAGGTAAATCAACCAAAGAATGAGTAAACACCTCCTAGCTTGGTTTGGACAGACAAAAACAATACTTAGTTCTATCATGGCACACCTGGTTGACAGTGGGTAAATGGTGAATAAAGCTGAATCGTTTCTAGTGATCTATCGCATAGCACAAGTTATAAGGATCTGAACCTATAACAAAAGTTTATATGTTCAGAAGAAATTTGTGACACCTCTCTCCCTTTCTTGGTCGGATGTAACTTAATACACGACTTTACTAATTTTAATATCCTGTATTTATTTGCTCTTTTTCACCTCTTTCCGTTCATATTCTTCAATATCTAATCATTTACATACTTCTTATTACTTAATTTTAATGATGCTTTGTGATTATTATTTTTAAGATCTATTTATTCAAGTGTAACCTACCTCCTATGTTGAATTATTGACTAGAGCTTTTATTATTTCATTATTCTTATTACTAGTACACATGTCTATCTACTATTAAGTGGTACTTTCTACCTATCATGTGTAGTTATCCAATCTATTTGACTGTGATCATATTCTCATAAATCACCTTGATTAGTTTAAAATTCTCATAAAAATATTCATGTATATTAGGGTGAAGACTAATGACGATTAAACTGAAAACAATGCTGTTCGCTTAAATGTGTTGTTCTAACTTTAGATTGTTCAAAACTCACTCACATTTCCTATTGATCCATACATCAAGGAATGTTTTACAACAAGAGGTTTTGAGAATAGTTCAAAATATAAAGGGATTTCGTAGTCAAGCGCTGTTGAACTGTTAATACCAATAGAATTATTAAATAGTCATCAGTGCTATGCTCTATTGAATTCAGTGGAGTGATGTTTAAAAAGTAACTAAAAACTAAACGATACAATATTCATCACCATACAACATATAGCAATGGAATATGTACTTCTGCGTAAAGAACATTATTGATAATGCTAAATACCTTCAGTTCAAGACCCAGCTATCTGATAAAAATAAGTAAAACATGTAAGAAGTACTCTCACGCGTACACAAGGAGAAAGAAAATGACAGTACTAATTATCATAACTTACTTCTATTTTGTTACGTTTTTCTACATCATTTCGCATAATTTCATAAACTAAATTTTGAGCATGTTGTAAATGACCACAATATTCTCCATATATGAGAAGATTATCTCGACTTTTAAGAAAAACATCACTTAAACTAAGGAAATTCACAGTTGCACTAGTTGCCAAACTCAGATTACTTAAAAACTCTCTATGAATAGTATGTAATTCCTGGATAAATTAATAAGAAAAGAAACAAAACAAATCTTATAGTATCAAAGTAATACGATGACACATCATAATATTTGTTTCTCGCATTTAATCGCGTACATTTACGCACACCAAAATAGTCACAGTTTCATAAATATGAATAAATAACTTTGAACTACGAAAGTTATAAATAGAATTACACTGGGATAATAGCACAATCATAGTACTTTTAACGAATGAAGCACATTTGTAAAGTACATAAGAATTAAATTCAACATAGTGGTATCACAGAACTAATTTATATAGGGAGTTTTTATGTTTAGTATACACTACCAATGAAGTAATTCAGGCTGAGGAATATTAAGCACCTTTATTCTTAGTTTAATACTATTCAACAATACAAGCTCTTCACTACTTTCATAGATGAACCTCTTATTTTCAAGTTTCATGGTAAGCAAATTAACTTTATTCAGCCCAGTGAGATTAACTTGACTATTCTGAAGTGTCGTTAAGGATGATCAGTCTAAGACTGGGGTAAAGATACGGGAATTAAATCCTTACCAAAACTCAATTAAGTAACCAGTAATTAATATAAAAGAGATAAAAACTGGTGGACATTTAATCATGATTCAACACACCAATTACAAGACGCCTTCTATTTAAAACTCAAAAAGTGCATGTAATACTCCTAGTTTTCAAAAAATTTCAATTATGCTTCGGAGAGGCGAAACCCAAGCTACGCACAAAGAGACGTCATATATTAGCCCTAATTAGTAGATTTGTAGTTTTTATCAATAACAGTTTGTATATTAAAACCATCACAGATTGCTCAATTACAAATTAATTACTGTGTTCATGGAAGTCTGATCAGCCCTAATGGGTTGGTGTCTGACGAAATCTCAGCACGGATTCGAAAAGCTCGCTTGGCTTTTGCCAACTTACGTCACCTATGGCGAAGGCAAGATATCCGTCTATCAACAAAAGGATGAGTATATTGCGCGGCAGTCTGTCCTGTTTTAATTTACGGCAGCGAAACATGGCCATTAAGAGTAGAAAACACTCGTAAGCTACTAGTATTTGACCACAGATGCCTTAGAAATATTGCTCACATCTGCTGGGATCACCAGCTAAGTAATAGTGAAGTTAGACACAGGGTATTAGGGAATGATGGTAAATCAGTGAATGAGGTTGTGAGTCTTCATCGACTAAGATGGTCGATCCACGTGTTACGTATGCCTGAACACCGATTACCACGACGTGCAGTGCTGACTAGTGTTAAGAATGGTTGGGAGAAAGTTAGGGGCTGCCAAACCAAAACGTGGCATCAGTGTTTGAGGTCACTAACTTCTAGTCCTAGCCATGTTGGTAGATGCAGACTACTTGGTTGGGGTCCGCGTGACTATCGTAACCAATGGTTGGAGACTCTTAATGGCATGGGTCAGAATCGATCACAATGGAGTCGGTGTATACACTCTCTGTCTTCCCTTAAACTAAGAGATTAAAATTACTTCATATCTTTCTACGAACTATTTCTTTCTTCCTGTACCATATCCTTATTGCAATCTCTCTTTTATATATTACCACCTCTGAATTAACTACTTTTATGAATCCGGTGTCCATCTTGTTGTGTTAATGAGGTACGGCAACTTGAACCGATGCATATATGTGCCTGGTCCTACGTTGTAGCTGACTGACTGACTGACTTAGTGTTCATAGCTAACCGCTTTGACTGCGACGGGGAAAAACGGCTAGGTAGCTAGCGCATTCATATCCCCAAATGGCTTGTTTCACTCTTTTGCAACAAATAGGGATCATATGGAGCGATGGAGGTTTAAATGAGACATGCTTAGTAGTTCAGCCTCATAGTTAGGAATATAGTGCAGTGGATCAATAATCATAAGATATTCGATTTAAAATCAGAATGAGACTCAGATTTTCTCTCAATTTTTATTTTGAAATAATAAAGTGAGTTGATGAAGTAACAAGATCCTTGAAAAGCGATGAGTTGCAGCACTGAAACTTTTATACAGGTATATGTTATTTTGAATCAAGATTATTATTCGTAATATACGGAGAAAGCAATGTCTAAAACTACATTCAGATCTGACCAATTCGATCTCTAGTATGCTATATTTTTGCTGAAAATCGGTGGAAAAGAAGGCCAGTTTCACACATGAAGGAATAACAAAACTAACGTATATACAGAAACAAATGACAAAGACAAGTGAGGAAACTCTTTCAATCAAAAGGGAAAAATACTCTGAAAACCTTGTCTAGGTACTAATAGGATAATAAAAAGTAATAAAGTTGTGGCACAGATACAAAAGTCCTACTTAAATTTTTCGAACTCTGTCATATGTGAAGTTGAGATGTACTACCGAAGAATGGGTATGTTGTCTAACAATTTACTTAGTATTAATTTGTCACTGTAAAAAACGACCTAGGGACTAGAATTTAAGTTGCCAGTGAAATGGATACATAACCACGATAGCCTCCTACTTACTCTGCTGACTAGCATAAGAGTTAGTGACAGGGGGTAAGAAAAGTCATACTAAGACACAGAGTATTACTCGTAAGCATTTTAATTTAATGTTACCAAAACTATACGTTCATTTTGGAGTAAACGATGCATCTTAAAAATAGAGTAGATGTACTGGGAATGTTTACTTTTCACGACACTGAATTGTTCTAGAGAACAGTGCCTCAAATTATTATCCAAAAAACCATATCATCTTAGCCCGCTAGTATCGTTATTTTGAAAAATTTGTTAGTAAAAGCAAATGAACTGAATATTTTCGAATTTCTACATAATGATTACCTCAATGTATTTGAAAATCTCTTCAATTTCGTTGTGCGAAAGAACTCCAATAAGCGGATGCTTGTACTTCTAAATTGCGATATTAATTAATAAATAATTCAACTTTCTATTCTACCTCAATTAACATTTTCAACACATCTACGTAATTTTTTTCTGTATCCACTATTTCGCGAATACAATACGCTCGTGCTGTTGTTGGTTCAGAGTCCAAATTCTATGTTGACAATTTGGAATAACAGTTACAAAAGGAAACAAAAAATTACTAGACGAGATTTTGAACCTTGATACACCACTGTATCGTACAGTTTTTCTTTATTTTCCTCTTCCATTTGAGTATAATTTGGTTTTCCAGAGTCAGGTAGTTTATTCCTAAAATGATGTATTATAATAATTAAAAAGAATAATGATAGAAGTTTATTATCTACATTGCAGCAGCGATTTCCTCAAGATTATTATAATATTCATGAGTTGATTGTAGCTTTGAATTTTCTGGTGGAAAACCACTATGTTTGGAAATAAACAACAGAAGAAATAAAAACATACGGTATTCCAGTTAACTGTGCCCTCCTTGAGTATGATAATTTTGATAAAGTTGCAATCGCTTTCCCAAAATTTTTAGCATGATAAATATCACCAGGTTGAAATAGCAAATTCCTGGGAATATCAAATTCTTTTTCACATAACTGTGTAAATAGTCGAAGATTTTGAAAACATAAAAACTGAGAATTTTGTGGCATATGGCTAAAATCTTTCATCGACCTTATATCCAACTCATGGTTTGATAATGTACTTAAAAGATGGCATAAAGCAACTCCGTCCATTAGGCCTGAACCAAGTGAATCGCATTACCATCTGGCCCCAGAGCCGGATGATCATCCGGGATAACTTGACATCTATTTAACCATTCAGCACACTGTCTCCAATCATCTTCCTCTTCCATAATAGTTTTCAAATTTACTACAAATAACACATCGAAAGAAGCAATAATTTGAGCATCAAAAGCGGTTATATAATCATGGTAGCAACAAAGGAAGATCAGTAATACCCCTAAAGATTATATTCAAGATTAATGATCTTAAAAATGAAAAACTCGTCATAATTGGACAATTATGATAGTCATCAAGCAAACTGGAGGGTGCACATCCTTACTCAGAGTGGCCCTTTTCACAATTTCGTGTTGAATCTATTATATAAAGCAATTTGTGTAAATATAGTACTTTAATCAGTCAGTCAGTCACAGTGTAGGACCAGGCACATATATGCATCGATCCAAGTTGTCACAACTCATTAGCACAGCGAGACGAACACCGGATTCATAGAAGCGGTTAACTCAATAGTGTAATATATAAAGGAAAGATTTTATGTAAGAATATAGTACAGAAAGAAAGAAATAGTTCGTAGAAAGATATGAAGTAATTTTAATCTCTTAGTTTAAGGGAAGACAGAGAGTGTATACACCGACTCCATTGTGATCGATTCTGACCCATGCCATTAAGAGTCTCCAACCATTGGTTACGATAGTCACGCGGACCCCAACCAAGTAGTCTGCATCTACCAACATGGCTAGGACTAGAAGTTAGTGACCTCAAACACTGATGCCACGTTTTGGTTTGGCAGCCCCTAACTTTCTCCCAACCATTCTTAACACTAGTCAGCACTGCACGTCGTGGTAATCGGTGTTCAGGCATATGTAACAAGTACTTCAACCATGGATTCAACATTAAGAGTGACTTAACGCACTGCAAATGAAGCAACCAATTTTATCCTTATCTGAATAGATGAATATTAAGTAAAATAACAGGACTGTCTATCACTTTAACACAAACAACTAACTAGATCTACGTGTAAAAAAACCCAGGTATAAGGATAAAAATTGAATATGATTGGCAGCTTGTGACTAGATACTGACACTCAAGTTATCAACTGAAGAAAAATGCAGGACTAGAAATTAGATTAAATGGTACTGAAAATAATGACGTACATAGCTGGTGATATATAGCAGACACTAGGAAACTAGCCATACTGGATGTTATTTAGAAGTAAACAGGTTACATATGGTGAAGTTTTAATTCCCCACTTTTTATAGCAAGTGTTAAAACAATTTAGTGGTTTTTTGAAGACTTCTTCACTGTCAGAATGCGGAATCTTGAGCGTCTATCACCATGAAGGTAGAAAATATTGCACTTTGCAAGACATAACGACAGTTTTAATGACAAGACTCCTGAATCCAGGAAGGGGCAACGGAAAGCAACACATGCTAAAGCGTACCTACTTTCTTTGTCTACACCGTGTATTGTACAAACAACGTTTCTACAACAGGTAACAGTATCTATTATTGTTGTCTGACATATCTAAAGTTTGAAGACCTAAACTTTCCTCTTCTCTCTTCATCAATCAACACGCAAGCACAGCCTTAATGCAATAAGTTGTGACTGTTCCTGACTAATTGTAGATATGTGTTTATCAATTCAGTAACTCCAAAAATCTTTAGTTTGATGAAGACTCATAGTTACAGGTCACATGTTAACACTAAATGCTAAAGCCATGGAAAATTTTATATACAAGAATGGCTTTGATTAGTTTTTAGACGAAGTTGTTTCACTAGTTCAAAACCAATTATTCATAATCAACACGGACCCTTTCACAGATGTGTATCGACCCATGTCATATTATATCAGTAAGGGATAAAATTAGCAAGATGTGTAGCAAGAAAGTCGAAGTAATGGTGCTCACAATGTCAGTGAGGAAGACTAAATATTAGATAATATGGTTCAAAAAGAAGGAACGAATCTAAGGAACATAAAGCATGAAACAATACTGAATATGGAGACCTAGGAGAAGAGAATGTGTATTAATTAAAGGCAGTGATCAATCCTGAGCCATATCTTGATGACTCCAACAAATGGTAGCAGTTCTAGAGCGGACTCCAACCTGATATTCCGCATATATCAATACGGCCTGATTGAACAGTCACTACCCTTGTGGACTGATGTCATGTTTTGGCTTCGCCGTCCCTAGCTTCAGCCAACAAGGACCATAGAAGACAGTGGTTGGACATACGCAGCACACGTCCAGACACCTCAATCGGTGAAAATATATCACCACATTAACCAACTTATTTTCTTCGTCCAGTGCCCTGGTTCTAGCCCTGACAATGCTTACTCACTTGTTTCACGACAAGTTGGTAATGCTTCGAAAATACCTAGGTTAAACTCCAGCAGTTTGTACATGTTTTCCAGTTCACGAGCCATTTTTACGACCACATTAATACACAGTGAACTGCTGCATTGCCTCAGAAAATAGACGTCTTGACTACTTCATGAGCGGTGTTGGAAAAAGCTAAGTGAACTTTCTGAATTTCCTGAGATTTTATCAGCCAATAATAAATTAGCAGTGGTGAAACGCTGACGACAATTTGAGTGGTAAACGAGACCAACTATTTTACTAATACAGACCAGTAAGTCATGATACAAATCAATCCCAAAGTAATATTTCGCAATTAGGTAGAAGAAAAAGAAGTCTAAAGACTCGTATTTGATGCCCTATCGCAGATTTAAACTGTTTCAATTATGAGTAGTCTTTACACAATCTGATACCAAAGCCAAAACCCGGAAGAGTATTTAATTACACTGTTGATGATGTAAGATGACAAGAGCCAAATGCCTTATATTTCCGGACTAAACTTTTATCTGCCATCATCTTAATAGCCACAATGAGAGTACCACTATAAATAAGTTAGTCTGAGACTCGAACCGTCTTCAGCCCATCGTGACCTTTGTTGTTTCTTCGAGTCATTACATAAACCCCAGTTAGATTTTCAGGATCCAAACGGATACGGTGAAATTATTATTGTCGCGCACTCAAAAATCATTTTTGAAAACCCACCGAAATAACTTAGTATGACCGAACCACTGTAATGGGATCGCTGGTATCTAATCGTTATTTATTTATTTTAACACAGATATTGGTACAATGAGGCACCAAATACATATGCGCCACATAAATCATTCGGTTTATGTGAGGGCTGTGATACTGCCCGGGTGCCCAAACCTGAAGGTTTGATCCACAAGGCAGTGGAGCAACGTAAGGAGATGCGGTCCCATGGTAGCCGGTGACAAACGATTGATTCATACGCCATTTGTTCCTTCAGGATACTGGAGCTGATGTGCACCATTGGTTTGGAATCAGGGTTTTCCAACTCCCCTAGGTCGACTCTCTATGTCCACCGACCCGGTTAAAGCACTAGACGTTCGTTTTTTGTCCTCTTAATTTCGTAAACAACACCGCCACGAGAAGGCAGTGAGCAGGACTTCCCTGGCAGAGGCTATATACGCGTGGCCATGTGAGAGCATTTCGAGAGGGAGAGCGGACTCTCCTCACTATCGGCCGTACCAGGGCATTTGGGGGCTTTTTTCCTACATCAATCAATACATCTAATCGTAGATAAAACAATATGCTCCCTTCTTAGATTTTTCTTCCGGTGAGCTTGACTGAAACATTTTAGAAGTCCTTACGGTTAGTCATTAAAACATTTGAACTTTTCAATGACTGAATTTTCCCAGCACATTATTTTATAACCCTTCAGATTTTAATATCCCGATTGAGGACATAAATATCGACTGACAATCCACTGCTGTTGTTGTTTCGAAGTTTATAGCAACAGAAAACCTATATATTGCATCAGTCTAAGTTAATAAGCTTCTGAACATATCACGAGGTAACCGGTAAGAAGAACGAATATGATAAAAGGAATCGAGAAAGTAGGTGTCACTGAAGATTGTAATATCAGAAACTACCAATTTATTTAACATGTAAAAGAATTTAATGTTTAGGAATGTTACGTACATCAACGATCTGGGAAAATCTGGAACAAGTTAATTAAAGGTCTCAGATTTACTAGCGATTTCTATACCATAAGAAAGAACTAAGACAAACTTCAACAAGTTATGTATCTAACGTCCAGTGAAATCAAGCAAAATAGCTTACATCGTAAAATATGAAATTTCAAACGCTTCAAAGATTAAATTATTGAAGCCACTAATTTTTAGCAATCTCTATGGTTCTGGTCAGACATTTGTGCCCGCATATTACTTACCTGATGCCCTCAGACTAATCTACTAATTGGCTAAGTCAAAATAATATAACTATTCCTCGAGAATGCAAATAATCCTTGCTTTTCTAATCTACCACGGTTTCGAGGACTTACATTTTACTAAGCGGGAACATGTTTTGAAAAGTATGCCTGGTTCGCCTAGCACACTGACTTCATTTCAACGTTGATAGTCTATAAATCGATTATGTACAAAGGACGTTTTAGCGATACGCTAGGTCCCGTGAACAGCAAACTACTGTACAGAATTCACGTTAGTTCGACGGTAAGATCACGCATCCTGATACCAAACGAGTAGTTTTTTAACGCATATATAAGCAAAGTATATGCTTTGCTTCAAAAAGCCTCGAGTATTTCATGCTACCTGAGTAATGTAACCACGTGTTAAGTTGATCGTTTCAGCGATAAGTAGAAATTTTCAAAGAACTACGATCAATAACCTTCGTTTAGATAATTTCAGTATTACAAACTCATTGTATCCAGATTTTCGAATCGCTGACAACCATAGAGGAGTGAGTCAGAAGCACCGACCATGAAATTGTGAAAATCTGGATAATAATATGCACCAGATTATTCAACGAAATAACGTCAACTAGATTGCTGTTTTGCATTTACCTGTTTAACGCCGTAAAATATCAAGGACAAAAAGAGCTCAGTTTTGAGACCTTCACTGCGAAATGAAAAAACAAAGAAAACCAATATATGTTATTCGCTATGAAGAATAAACTAATATGTTTACAATTCAACAGTGAATGCGGTTGTCAAATAACAACTAATATACGAAATAAAATGGTTTAAATGGTTCAAAAAGTTATCTACAGTTTTAAATTATTCCCTGAACTTTGTA